CTTTTATCCGTGGTCTAGCCATTATACCCATTCACGACGTTAGATGGCGCCAGATATCATTGAAGCGAATGCTGAACTCGACTCCCCAGGCCAAAGTGAACCCCTGTCACGAAGAATAAAAATAAAAATAGCGGTAGCACGAAGAAGAAAAATAAAAAATAGCGGTATGAAAGCAAAGAGAAGAAAATAATAGAAGAGATAATAAAAAATTGAGAAACGTAGCGACAATCTGGAGAAAAGTGGGTCGAAGTCCGGCCAGGTTAAACGGCAGCTGAGGAGAAGTTATGATGTCATTTACATTTCAAAAACCAGAAGCCATTCATTTACGAATGTGATTGCACTTTAGATTTGAATGAGGCAAAATAACATGCTTTTTCTCTCAAATATATTGTTATAATCATTTGTTTCAGATGTACTGTAATTATTTTCTGTATAAAAATTAATTTGGTGTTCAAAAAGTCTTTTTTCAAACTTGAGTCTTGAAAAAGAGGGAGTCGTCTTATAATCAGGGCCATCTTATATTCGGGCCAATACGGTAAACTCACTTCAGAATTTTGCCTTTTTGTCATCTATTCTTCTAATAAGGGTGTTCACACAGCAACTTTTACTCCGGTGCAGCACCGGGGCTACCCCGCGTAGAGCGTTCACACGTACAAAATTATATCGGTGTAGCCCCTGAAAACAGCTTAAACCGGAGCAAATTTAACCCTGCTCAGGAGGTGGTTGAAAAATTTACTCCGGAGTAAATGCTAGTTTGCGGGGCAGCACCGATATAAAATTGGACGTGTGAACGCTACAGGGGTAGACTCGCTACGACACGTGAGAAGAGTTGATTACATACGGGGATTGAATGCGTTGCTTTTGTGCCCCGTTGGACTTCCGTAATCTTTCCTTTCTCTCTCTCATCCTTTTACGGTGTCTGATAGACCACGGCGTTGATTTGTCTGGAGAAGTATAAACCGTGGATTTTCGATATGTCACAAACAAAGCGGGGAAAAGGAAGTACACTTTACGAATTTTATTTCCGTATTACTATCGTATTGCACGGCCGCAGAAACTGCCGTGTGAACGCAAGTGGGGCTGCACTGGGGTTAACACGCTTCTCTCTAGTAAGCAGCTTTTTACGTGTGAACGCTCCACAAAATTTACACCGGTGTAGGATATATCGCTACAAAATACGTCGGTGCAGCACCGATGCAAATGTGTGCCGTGTGAACACCCCTATTATTTTTTAAAAATGTTCAACTTGTGTTTTCCGCTCCGATTGCTTTTGAAAACATTTTCTTGGTCTCATTAGAAATGTCAAAATATTTAAATAACCCAAACAGGACATTTATTTGCTTTTAGATTGGCTTAAGTACCCAAATGGTCTAATCCTAGGTGGGTTTACATATTATTGGCGGCGGGACCAAAACCTGTTTGAAACAGAAAATCATATTGGGGATGTAAAAGATGGGAGTGCATCGAACCAAATTATTCCACTTTGAAATGTATCGAGATATATATCAAATCGTCTTTTATTGATGAGTTATGCAGTTTGTTAGAAGGAAATGGGACCTTTACGGTCCTCACAAGTTCATTCGAGTGTGTGTAAAATGACAACAAAAAAGCCATTGCGTCATACCCGCTCAAAGTGAGCCGTACCATATCGAATCAAATCGTACTTCCACTCGGTCGAACCGAATAGAATCGTCCTTGAATCATTTTGCACGCCACCTATCAAAAACCGTATGGAATCGACCTTTGTGGAGAGATGCACACCCTGAGCCCACATTTGTGTTTATATGACTCGGATGAACATGGACGTAATTGTTTGGCAGTGATTTTTGCCACTATGTATTGTTCTTGAATTTTACAAAAAAAAAAATCATCAGTAAGTCAAGAGATCTGAAATCAATTTTGAAAACGTGTCACTCTTTTGACCCTTTCACGCACCCTGTAACCTGATAACGTGATAAGCTGTCCACTGTAGTAACTGCTGTCCCGCAAAGGGTTAATTGAAAATTTCGATCCGTCGAGCAGTTTTACTGAATTGCTATAGTGAAAAAAAAAATGGTTTTGTTAATTTTCTGTGATTGGCTGGCAAGCAGTCCGGGGTCTCGCCTTGAACTCATCTGGGACAGGCTCACGCTCACGTGTCCCTAAGCGAGGATAAGCGCTACAGAAAACGGATGTTTGTGATGCTACTCTTCTACATCAAATCACCTGTTTTTAGTGCTTGAAAAGAGACAGGGATGGGAAATAAGATTGATTCCTACTGTTTTAATTGCTCCAAAAGTACAACTGCACTGCCGAGAATACAAAATCAAGCAATCTGAAAAGCTGCTTGAATAACAAACATTGATTTCCACTGTGATTGTTGACGCTCTTGTCGTGTTTCCATGCTGACGAGTGAAAGTCGCGCAAACCCGAGGGGAAAGAAGTTCTCGTTGTCTCAGCATCTCCCTCACACAAGTCAGCACAAAGAAGCGTGCAAAAAAAAGTGCCGGCATCAAAGCAAAAAAAGGAACATACCGAAAATGTCTGGCAAGGCTGCGTTCTCTTCCCATGGCTCTTGTGGGCTTTGAGGAAGCGCCGCGGCTCAGTTTAAGCGATGCAAATGCCTCCTCCCCTCAAGCCCCGGTGAGTCCCCCATCGAACGGGAGCAGGCGAAGTCTCCCGGACAAGAAGGCAAGCAGGAGAAACAAAGCGTCCCCGCTTCTCAAAAGTGCTCGCTGCAGGTTCGGGAAGATGCCAGACGAATGACGGGGGAGAACGAGGGAGGGAGCCAAGCCATAAAAGCTTCCCTCCTCACCTGCGAAACCTCCCTGAGCAGCTTCGGCAGAGCTTCGCCCGCTTCCTTCATTTTCATCTCTTGCCCAAAGTCACACACGGCAGTCACACTTGATGGACTGGCTCATCTATCATTCAACGGCAACAAGAGAAAAAGTGGCAAGCGTCTCTTCCGTCGGGAGAAAAGGAGGACGGAAAAGTGACAAGAAATGAGGAGGGCCCAGTGGACCGATGAAGAGTGTGTGTGTGTGTGTGTGTGTGTGTGTGTGTGTGTGCGCACAAAGCCCTACAAGGGATTCATGCTTTGAAAAACGAAACCCAAGACAATTATTGGCACATGGAAATATTTAAAACAAGAAAAAAATGTTGGGCAGCCATCCAAGAATTTTCTTTATATCTTCAGAGTCGACAAATGTTGCTTTTTTTTTTTTTTCAACCTCCTGAATCGATTCCCGGTCATTTATAGAAAAAGCAGCACACCATGACAGCTAACGTACAGCTTTGTTTTTTTTAACTAGAAGCAAATCTGCTAGAATCACTTGAGGAAAAAAAAAAAAAGTTTTGTATTTTCTCGAGAATTTAACGAGTTAATAATTCTGGGAGGAACAAAATTTCAGGGGGAAAAAAAAAATCAAAACTTGTTTGCTATGAGGAGAAAAAAAACGGTAAAATAAAATTAGAGAAGGACTCCAATCTTTTTTTTTTTTTTTTTTTTTACATTTTTAGGGACAGTTTTCACAATACTTTTTCTTTGCGGACTTCCTGGGAGAAATCATGTGATTCTACTACCTCACTCATATCCACCGAGGTTGCCCAAATACAGTATGAGATGAATAATCATTGTATCAATCATACATTTCCCTGAAGCATCATGTCATTCCGATTTTGTCTTATCATCACAACATTTGAGCCAAAGAACATTTTGAATGAATTCAAATCGTCGAAGCCCAAGCGCCTTCGCAACAATTTCCCTCAACAGCCACAAAAGCGCCCGCTCGACGTTCCAGGATCGTCTCTCTCATCATCACACCTCCTGCGCGGGGCTTTCATGTGCTCGCTAACCCGTGCCAGTCGAGAACCGTTTAGGAACTGTCACTGTATCCGAAATGAAAATGTATTCAAAGAAGTAGGCTGCTTATAAATAGAACGTCTCCGGTGGGATGGCGAGGCAAGAGAGAGGGACAGACGCAGCGTGAGAGAGGCACCATTTTGACACACCTCTCCTCAATCAAATCCTTCGGTCGCCCCTAAGTCTTCATTTGTCATCTTGCCGAGACAATTTGGAAAATTCACGGCGAAGAAGGTCATTTTCTGTGGGGCCCGACCGATATGGATTTTTCTAAAGCTGATGCAGATTCCAATTCCATTTGGCCGACTCAACTTCTGATAACCAATTAATTGGCCGAGCAATTAAAAAAAATATATATATATATATCACAGATAAAAGAACTTATTTGGGCCCCCTTAATGCTTCCAACAATAAAAGATATTAACTACAGGCAGAACAATTAAGTGTTTAAAAATGTTTGTCCTTCTGTAACTTTACCACTGAGAGAAAAACTGGCAAAAAAAACCCAAAACTGATTTTGATCCTGGCTAATTTCCAATTAAATTAGCCATAACGTTGTTATTTTGACTTAATTTCACTAATGGCCATTGTCACCTATGTATTGTACTTAGCTACGCATGTATGAAGAGTACAGAGGAAGCCAAGATGATCTTTGCCAAGAGCAGAAGCTGTTGAAGACTCAAATTTTGCCGTACCTTTGTCGTATTTTTCGTAGTAAAAAAAAAAAAAAAACTGAGGACGGTTAATCCGAAATCTGACCAGGATTGCAAAAAAAACCCAAAACTGATTTTGATCCTGGCTAATTTCCAATTAAATTAGCCATAATGTTGTTATTTTGACTTAATTTCACTAATGGCCATTGTCACCTATGTATCGTACTTAGCTACGCATGTATGAAGCATACAGAGGAAGCCAAGATGATCTTTGCCATGAGCAGAAGCTGTTAAAGACTCAAATTTTGCCATACCTTTGTCGTATTTTTCGTAGTAAAAAAAAAAAAAAATAACTGAGGACAGTTAATCCGAAATCTGACCAGGAGGCGCCAACAACAATTTTGTCCATATAAATTGAGTGAAGTGAACAGTGTCCAAAAGTGGCGTGACTGCCACTGAGAAAGCAGCCAACAAGCACCCTGGCATAAAAACCACGCCAACTATGTTAACATCGCTTCTCCTCTCCAGATGTCTGAGCCATTTTGTTGTCACATTAATGCCAATAAGCACCCCGAGGCAACCTGGAGGCAAAACTCTGCAAGACTCTCGGCACCAAAACAACATCACTCCGCTATGCCGCTAGTGCTGCTGCTTCTTCTTCTTCCAAATGTGTCATTAATATCGTCTGCCTTTCATGGAGAAAACAAACCCGGCATTAGCTTAAAAAGACTCAATGTCACAGCTACACGGGGAAGAGGAGGAGGGATAACTTTGCATATCAAAGTCTCACAAGGTCACAGTGCACCTGAGCGAGAAGTAGCAAGACGCAATTATAAGTTACAGCAGCTAAAGTTAGACTGAACAAGATTCAGGAATCGTCACTGCAGCCATAGCAGTCCTCTATGGATCTAGCTGATGCATAATAGATGGGACGCCTGTGCAAAAAAACAAAAAACAACAAAACATTGTCGCAGGCACTTTTTCGAAAGAGGACATACACTGGCTGGACAAATCATTAGGCACACCCGCACAATAGAATGAGATGCAAAAGAAAAGGCGTCGTTTGGATCGAGATTTTTGCATTCAATATGCATTTTGTGACTGTGGTTGTCGTGTGCTGTGGTGTCAACTTGACTGCATCATAATGAGGTTCAGTATCTATATGTTAGGCACAAAATAGTAAGAACAGCTTTCGGTAATGATGCAGTGCAGATGCACAACACTGCACGATCGCAACCACAATTGTCAACACGCCCAAGATTAAATTACTTCGGAAAGGGAGAATTTTGGTTGAATCTCTGTCGGCTCCCTTTCCATTGTAACCTTATGTTGTGGCTATTGAATATGCCATTAAAAGTGTGCCGGAAGAAACCGAGATGTTGAAACGGCGTTGTTATTTTTAAGAAAACTAGACCCACAACAAGGGATTGCTCATGACAACGCCAGTAGAATCCTCGAGAATGAACAGTGACATCACTGACAAATGATCCCTCAAGTACTCACCTGAGGCAGCAAGTCATCATTTCCTCCGGCACACGACCAGCAAAGCTACGGAGCCTCGCGCATGTATGGCCAAAAGTGCCACTTGCATGTTTCGCTCAATTTCGGGAATGTGTGTGCTCATCGCAAAGCCGCCCATCCCGCGAATTGGCTGGCGCGCCTCGGACAGCTTCACGAAGGAATAAAAAGAAACCAGCGATGTGCTACACACTCACACACACACACACTTCGCACAAACTCACGGATCAAAGAAAGGATGCATCACAGCAGACGGAGAGAGACGAGGAAAAAAAAAAAGAGAGAGGGAGCAACTGAGAGAAAGTCAGAGTGAGAGGAGAAGGAATCGGGGATGAGTGACAAAACCTTGCAAGCCTCAGCAGAGTAGTCGTGTGTTTGGTTTTGAGTTTCTCATCGGGGCTGAAACGGCGGAAATGCAATGCAATGCGAAGGAATTGTTTTCCCGCTCTTCTGGATGATCCACGGAGCTTACCTGACACTTGCAATGAGCTGCTGATGCTCCTCGGTGATGAGGATGTCCGGCAGGGCCTCGGCCAGACTCTCGACGTGGCGCTCGGCGGCGTACTGCTTCAACACGTCAAACAGCTGCTCTTTCACATCTGGATCCTCGCCCAGCACTTCCTCCACCTGAGGGGGGCCCAAAAGATGACCATGAAGCGATCAATACGAGCTCACGGGACAATCCAATTGATACAGCCGCCGTTCAGTTTTGATTGACGGTTGTCAGAGAGGTTATATTAAGAAAGAAAAAAAATAGTTAAATAAAAAGAGCTTTTTTTGAACAGTTTGGTTGTTGAAATTATCCACCCCCACCACCCCCACCGTCCGTGCCTGTGTCAATCAAAACCGAGTATTAGTATTACCGTTGCAAAAGTCAAAGGGGTAGTTTTCATCTCCGTGGGTGTTTTGTTTAGGTGTGCGCTCAATTTGCTGTCTACATTTTGGGATATATTCTTTTTTGACTTATTTGTTTTTTTAATCTATTCTAGGGATGACATTTGAAAAGGAAAATTGAATTGAAATGCAGCTGGTTAAAATTGCCACGTAAAAGTTTATTCAAAAAATAAACTAATAATTTAATGTCTCTTTTTAACTGCCTTATTTATAACGATTTACAATAACAAATGTAACTCTTAAGAAAACATGCCAAATGGATACCTGTTATTTATGTAATTACCTATTCATACAAAAATCATATTTTTTGACCATTTTTACCTTTAAATCAAATCAGTTCAGTAATTTTGCAAAAAAAATCTAGTTTCAAATTAAAAATATTACAATAAACCAATTCATTGTACGTTTGTGAAAAGTTTTTAAAAAAATCCTTAAAACACATTTAAGTTCTAGTTTTAATGATTAACTTTAATTATGTAAACTACGAATAATACAATTAAAAATTGAAATCACCTTTCCAGAGTTCTCCAAAAAAATCGATAGACAGAAAATGAGGTGAAGGGAAAATTACGCTGAAATACAGCAAACATAGCAAGACTCTTGATTCCCACACGTTATATTGTGAAAGAATTTGTCAAATTTATTTGATTATGCTTGCATTTATTGTGCTTCCTGTTTTCTGTTCATCTTCTGTACACCTGCTCAAATCAATAAAGTTGACTTGACTTGATTATGCCGATGCTCAAAGGGCCAAATTACAGAACGCAGGCATGCCACCCACCTTCTTGTTGAACTCCATGGCCTTGTGTGCTCGACTCTCCCTGACGCTGTCCCCGCTCTGCGAGACCACCCTCATGCTGCTGCTCAGGCGCTTGGGCCGCCGCGCCATACTCAGCACGCCCAGACGCAGCGGACGACCCTGCGCCGCTTTGATCATGGCCGCCGCCGTCTCGTGATGCTTGACCGGGATGCCGTTGACCTCCATGACGTAGTCCCTGACCTTGAGGCCGCTGTGGCTGGCCGCGCCGTTGGGTACGCAGTCCTCCACCATCAGGGGGCTGTCGCCCACGATGGTGAAGCCGAAGCGGCCGTCCGGGCTGGGAGTGATGTCGATCTGATGGAGAGAAAATGGGAAGTGCCAGTAAAGTCACAACCCTTCCAGATTGAAATGAATGGAAATGAGATTAATCGATTTCATCCTGACACAAAAAACAAGAACAACAATAATAATAATAATAATGTTTTCTTCACTATACATCACTTAAATCACTCTACATCATAAAACATGCAGTAATGACATATAATATTGTGCATAGAGACATCTGGGTTTCTCGCCGCTCCTCAATGAAAAAACACTATTAGCCGTTCTTCACAGACGATAAAGAATATATGACTGAGTACCGTTACGAGGCTTGAAGCCTTTTTTTTGTAGGATCATTAACTAATTTTAATCTGCCTAAGTGCAGGTTTTTGTGAAGCATTTTCTGTCACTGCCACCATAGAGTGCTCATATATCAAGTTTGCCGACGTATATCAGATCACTCCTGTGTCAAGAACCCACTGTATAGAAACATTTTTAAAAACTACAAAAACGCTAAAAATATACAGAACATAAAAGTTCAATAGAAATTGGACCGTGATACGCATTTACAAACCAATATTTCTGAAATATTAAGTGCAAATATATTTAAGTTAAATACAACTGAACTGTACTTGGACTAACCTATACAGAGGAAGAAGGCAGTGATTGTTTGCTGTACAACTAGAGGGAGTACATGTCTCACATTATAAACTAACAATAACGGGGCGAAGGCAAGATGCATTTCAGCATATAGTACCTGTTCAATTCGTGACACCACACCAATGCTGGGGGGCACCGTTTTGAGGGTCTGAGCAAGCGCGATCAGTGCCGGGGTGCTGAGGTTAGTCACGTCCTGGCCCTCGATGTCCACCACCTGGTCGCCGGGTTGCAGGCCCGCCAGGAAGGCGCTGCTGCCCTCCACCACTGACAAGATGTAGCTGGGCCCCGTGCCACCCAGTCGGAACCCAAAAGCCTCGGGCCAGTTCTGATTGGTAGCGGGAAGACCAAGAACTGGAAGGTGAAATGTAGAGTTGGGTTTGTTGATATGCATGGTTGTAGTTTGAAGTTCACAGGCTGCTCTAGTTAGTGCTGGGCAGGATCACCTTCAAATTGAAAATTTACACAAAAAAATGATTTCAGATTTTAATCTGGTTTCTCCATCTCCATAGAAAAAAAAAATGACTGGCATTAATGAAAACTGGCATAGCTCCATCTCCACCCTTCTAAGAATTTCTTTTTTTCCCTCCTGAAACCAGACAAGCTCACACCTTTTGTCAAAACATGTTCTCTAAAATAAATTCTCTTTATATTTAGCAATTTGGCATCATCGAAATGGCTGTACATGGCTGTACAACATGGCTTTAGAATATATGTCTGCATATATATATATATATATATTTTTTTTTTCGATGCAGAGGTGTATCAGTGAGGCTAGGGTGAAAAATATTTGTGACTTGAAGGACATACCTGGGGTCAAAGGTTTCCAAGTTGTCGAGCTGCTTTTGCAATTCCTAGCTATGTTTTTGGAAATATTCAGCATGAGTGACCGTGATTTTTTTTTTTCAACAGTAGTCGCTTAGAAGGGTCAGGAAAAAAAAACATTGACTTTGAAACTGAAACGATTAAATCTCCAAAATTCATTTTTGCAGCAAGTGGATAAAAGCACAACGAGTGTAGCGCTACCTAGCGGTGATGTTTGTGAATTACAGTCGGACACAAAAAGTCATAAATCTCCAGTTTTAGTGCATGTTAAGATCTCAAACACTGATAAACACAAAACGAAGGCATGTTAAAAATCAACCTGTGACTTGTGTTCTTCACATAAAACATAAAATTTAAAAGGCTACACATGCATTTGTCTTTGGCCATGAGCCGCTTTCTAGTTCACAAAGTTTTAAGGACATCAGTTTTGTCCCTTTTTGTATACGGTAATACCATTCCCTGCATCTGCCCCACTATTTGTTGTTTGAATTTTGTCTGCTGTGAAAAAGGCCATTCAAACAACAAAACCAATCATGCACCCTCGATTCACACTCGAGCAGGCTGTGAGGTGTGAAATTAGACTTCGTGTTCCTCGTGCCTCAACGATGGAGCTGCAGCGGGTTCAGATAAAAGCGAAACAAGCTGGCAAAGGCAGGTTATTAGTGACGGTTGCTATTTGGACCGCAGCGATGCCCCCTACTGGCCATCCCCTGGCGGTCACTGACCTCATTCTACTGCTTCCGGGAGGAGTCCTGAGAGGCTGAAATGACATCTGGATACATCAAACCTGACTATTTGAAGAGAGGGGATTTTTTTTTTTTAATTTTAGTCGGAGACAGTCATTCTGCTCAACAACGGGGAAGGTTTCTTCAACACAAACTCCAATAACAGTTTCCCCAGTCAGCGTCAGCTAAATTCCTAAAGAACTTCCAAACTTTGTGTCCTGTACCCAATCTTCAAATTAAATCCGATCTTAGTCAAGTGGAATGTTGCTGGAAAAAAAAATTTAAACCAAAGGGGAAAATAATCTCGGGTTATAAAAAATACATTGAAACACTATATTGTCATGCAACACGGCCTTCCCTAAGTCAGGGAGATAATTTAAGAATGAAAAAAATGTAACACCAGTGCACAAAATGTGAATACTATTGATATCGCAAAGGGAAAAATAACACCGAGCACGCTAATTGGAATGCAAGTCATCCATCAAAACAGCAGCAAGGAAGCAATTCCCTTTTGTGCAACTGTTCAGAGGCGGAAGAAAGTAAGACAATGCGAGGAAGCCCAATTAGGAAGACCAAAGTTGGAAAAAGTTACAACAAAAAAAGTCAACGAGAGGTGCAAAGGAATATAATCAGCGTTAGATATAGTCTGAGACGAGTCTGGGTGAATTCAATCTCAATCACAACAGAAGATGGTGTCAAGTCTGCTAAAATATGGATAAGAAATCTTTTTAAGCATTCTATTCTTTGTCCGATTACAAATAAAATTCCCCTCCCCCCCCCCGTTTTTTTATCCTCACAGAAAAGTTCATGACATCATGTAAAAAACGAAGACGGGGCCCCGTAAATGACACTTACGGAAATCTTTGGAAGCACTTCGGGTGCCAGACTTGCTTTGGCGCAGGGAGAAGCGGCCCTTTCTGCTCAGGAAACGCCTCATCCTTGCCCGGCTCGCGGCGGGGCACGTCCCGGCCAGCCTTACCCTTCAGCCCCCCGCGGCCTGGGGGGGAGCAGATGCAGTTGAGGAGTGCCCACCGACACACACCCTCACGACAACTCTCAACCTGGATCTCCCAAAAAAATGCTCTGCCTGCTTGAGAAATCGCATACACCCCCAAAAAGGTCACGATGGCGGTCCTAACGTGCAATGAGAACACAACTAAGGAGACGGAGGGCTCACTCCAGCCTCGCTGAGTGGATGACGATCATAAAAGTGGGACAGCCAGTTCGGAAATGGTTCTTTGCAAGAAAAAGGTACAGCGAAGCCCCATTTTTCTATAAATACCTTTCCCAGCTCTCTCTCTCCCTCTCTCTTCATGCTCTGCTCGTGGACGCCGGGCCTCTCGGAGGGCTGAAGAGTGACCCAGAAACGGCGGCGTGGCGCAGCCAGGGGAAATGATTTGAGCGTCTGCCTTCACCTCTGCGATGGAGCGCCAGTTAAGAGATGAAACCTGCCGATCCTCCTCAAGGTGGCACACACATGCGCAAAAACAAAGCAGTTCAAGCACGAAAAGCAAGCGGCCCCCCCCCCACATTAGAGACGAATCACTTGAAGAAAAGTTGAACTCAATAATGAAAAACTCAAGGCCAGAGGTTCTTCCAGTTGTGGTAGGGGTATCGCTCATGGTACGCCGGCTCCCTCTGGTGGTACAAATGAATAATTACTGAATTAAATGCTCAAACTGGGAATCAAACTACAATTAGCGAAATTATTTTTTTGGGGAGGGGGGGGCTCTAGTATAGGCATTTGTTCAAAGCAGTTCAGTTGCGCTTCACTTTATAGTCCACTACATTTGCATTTAAACTTTAAGAATTATGGCCGGAATTATGATTTTTTTTTATGCTGATACCAGTTCTGATATTTGGCAGAATAAAATTCAGATGACCGATTAATTTTTCAATTTTAAAAATACTCGAGGAATAAAATTAATTCTTTTTGGCCGCTTAATTCGGATGATTTTTGTCAATTTTATAAATCTAATATCGGCTAATTAAATCAGTCAGCCAATCAACTAGTCAGGCCCTATTTAGAATTGTTTTGTTTTCATTTATTTATTTATCACGTTTTAGAAAACTTCTTTGTGCAGCACATTTTAACTCATTCAATACCATCCAATTCTGGACCAAGTCTGAAAAGATGTTTAAAAACGTCTTTGGGAGTGAATGAGTTTTAATTGAATTGAAATGCCGTTCTTACATTTAAGCAAAATGTTTATGTGCGAACTGCATAATGATTGAAGATATTGTCATTCATTCAGGTCGTTTCTTTCTCTGGGCATTGGCTCGATCATAACCGGGCTGCCTTGGTTGTCTTCAAAGACATTTCGTCTCGAACCCGAGAAGGCTTCATAATTTTTAGAAATACAGCAAAAAAACATTTGGGCTTACTCTGCAAAGAAACATTCTAACTAATTCTAACTTTGGAGAGTGAAGCATTGCTTTAGGTGGTACTTGGTGTAAAAAATCGGAGAACCATTGGCATCTATTTTTTTTTTTTAAGAAAATAGCATTTATTTCATGTTGCCTGATGAGTGATACTGTTGAGTGAAAACTTAGCCAGTAAAGGAAAAAATAAACTACTGTTGAGTGAAAACTTGGCCAGTGAAGGAAAAACTAAACTGGCCCAAAAAACTGAATATTCTTGGTGAAGGTACAACAGGTGGCAGATCTGCAAGCGTCTCGGTAGATAAAAATGTTTTGAACTACAGAGAAGCAACAAGGCTTGCAGATGATATGACAGTCAACAACTGCAGATTTCCTCATATATAGAGAGAGAGAGAGAGAGAGAGAGAGAGAGAGAGAGAGAGATTGCGGCATTTTTAAAGATGTCTTCTTGAGTGTATTTTGCTACACTCCTCATGCAGTTTTATTCAATATAAATGAACGAAAAACTTTTGTGCTTTGTTGTTGTGCGGCTAGAACCGCTTTGACCTTAGTTTGTTCGTGGAGTCCCCGGTGGCGCTCGTCCTTAATCACACGATGACAGTCTGAATCTCCACCTCTTGTGGCGTGGTGATCACATATCCTTCCTCGTCCTGCAGATGAATTCGCTCCTCGACCACCTCCTCGGTGGTCACCAAGGCAACCGCCCCCTGCGCGGTCTTGACGCTCTGGACCAGCAGCGTGCCGTCGCTGATGGCCGAGGCCAGCGTCATGGCCACCTGCTCCGTCAGGCTCTCGGGCGTGGCGATGGTGATGGTGTCGCCGCAGTCCATGATGGACGCGCCCTCCTCGCCGCCGCTCACGTTGCGCAGGATGATCTGGTGGCTGGCCGTGCCGCCGGCGTCGTGCGACTGGCTGACAATTTGCTGCACCACTTTCACGATGTGGTTGCCCATCTGGTGCGAGTGGTAGAAACGGGGTTAAGGGGATCACGTGACCGGCAGCTGAAGGGACTTTCACACCCTTTGACAATTTGACAATTTCCTGCGCCCGTTCACGACACAGTCCTGCCTTGATACAAGTGACTTCACTTAACATTTTTCTTTGAGATACGGGCCATCGTTTGGCTCACTTGTTGCTGCGACTTGCAAACACAGCCGATATGATGAAGTGGTTCAAAGAACAATAAGATGCTGATACTGACCTCATTTTGACTGTCCTGAATGAGCGTATCCCCTTCTTCGTGTATTTCCTCGTCTGTTTGAGGCTGAGGAATGTAGGAGAAGAGTAAAATAACATGTGGCAAACAACAAGAACAAAATGCTAGAATGCTAGTTTTAATGCTCAATAAACCTCCGCTGATTTGAATCACCACTGAGAGTCAACTACTTTGAGAATCGCTCAGACTGACACAGAGAATACCTTTCAAATCACTGGAAAACAAAAAAAAATGGCTTAACTACAGAAAAATGAAAGGGCAGGAGTGGCCAAACCAAAAATGACATTTGAATTCAAAGTCTGTGGTGACCTGAATAATCTGACAGATTAGGAATGCCTTTGTGAACAATTGTGAGTAAGATTGAAGAAGCTGATTTGAATCACCACTGAGAGTCAACTACTTTGCGAATCGCTCAGACCGGCACAGAGAGTACCTTTCAAATCACTGGAAAACAAAAAAATGGCTTAAGTATAGAAAAATGATTGGGCAGGAATGGCCAAACCAAAAATGACATTTGAATTCAAAGTCTGTGGTGACCCGAATAATCTGACAGATTAGGAATGCCTTTGCGAACAATTGTGAGCAAGATTGAAGACAAAACAAATCATATTTTACAGTAAAAAAAAAAAAAAAAATCTTTAAAATCTATATTTGCTGTGTTTATCCATATAAGAAGATTGAAGAAAAACAAATCATACTTTCCAGTAAAAAAAAAAAAAATCTTTAAATCTATATTTGCTGTGTTTATCCATATAAGATTAAGGGTTGGCAACTATATTTTTCTTCACATAAAAAGTTTTTTTTTTTCAACTGCATTGGACTGGAGATCCTCTGTTTGCAATAAAGTAGTTTTTGCCTCTTCCTGACCAATCACATATATTAGTTCACATTTTTGGTCGACAACTGTTTTACATACGTTTCATAAACCTCACTGCATTGCAAAGTACATGAACAGGTAACACACTACACTAGTTCCCATGTTTAAAAAATAAAATAAAATATCCATATAAGATTAAGGGTTGGCAACTATATTTTACTTAACATCAAAAGCTTTTTTTTTATAAACTGCATTGGACTGGAGATCCTGTTTGCAATAAAGTAGTTTTTGCCTCTTCCAATCACATTTATTAGTTCACATTTTTGGCTGACAACTGTTTTACATACGTTTCATAAACCTCACTGCATTGTAAAGTACATGAACAGGTAATACACTACACACTAGTTCCCATGTTTAAAAAAAAAATTTAAATCAGGTAAGCCCAGAATTGCGTCATAAAACCAAAAATTTCCTACAGATCCATTTTCGTTGACCTTTTAGCGATAGCGGGTTTTTTTTGTTTGCACTAAATTCCCATAAATGAATGAGACATGACAAAAACTTTTTTTCGGTGATTACCAAACTCAAACCAACCCGAAACCAAGATTAGACTGCTAAAATGTTCGGGGACTCGGCCACCGTGGACTCTCACCTTGATGATGTACTCCTGTGTGTCAGCGACCACCGAGGAGAACTCCACTAGCAGTGCGTGGGGGTCTTCGGTGATTATTGCTGCTGTGGTGACGTCATCACCGGGAAGCAGCTCCTCCGTGACAACCTCCTCCTCCTCCACCTGCTGTTGCTGTTTGCTGGATTCGTCCTTATGACAGCCCCCTAATGAATGTGACAGCATCTGGACGATCAGGCATGTTGACATAAAAATCTCTCTTCCTGAGCACCATACAGACCTTTGGCGCGAATGTGGCGATTGAGAGTGCCGTGCTCGGCGAAGCCGCGACCGCATTTTGGGCACTTGAAGGGCTTTTCGCCCGTGTGGTGGCGAGTGTGTCGCACCAACGAGCCTTTCTCTCGGAAGCCTCGGAAGCAGAATTTACACACGTAGGGCTTCTCCTCGCCGTGGGTTCGCTGATGCACCTGCAGAGCGTTCTAAACGTGACCGAGATATACAGATAAATTTAGGGTCACAAGGTTTTGTGCTTGGCTACAGCTCGCCGAGAATAAAAAGATGCATGGAGTGAGAAGCGGAAACAGTCTGTTTACAATGCCGACAGTTAGGTCTAAAAATACTGCAAAATAAATGTGCAAAGCCTGATATAATACAAAGCATAGATAACCAGCTGGCTGAACAGCATTGCCCAAAAGTTGAAACTTAACATGTCTTTCAGATAGAAGTCGAAGGAGTGTGAATTCTTTTGTGCGAAACTTGTTCCTCAGTAGAAAAATGTTCTGTCAGCCATGCACGCCATTTAGTTCCATCTTGGTATCAGTGACCGGTATCGGCTGCCGCCGTGAGTACTTGATAAAATGAAATAAGGCCGTTATCGGCCCGATACCTGGTATGGGTACACGACCATCCCCAAACAGTACTATGCTAATCTATATGCCTTTTTTGCACACGGCCTATAAATTGAAATGTAGAGTCAGATCGTACCAGCCAATTCTAGACTCCATTTTTTTTTTTAACCCTAAGTCTTGGAGAAATTGAAAAAAAAAAGTATCTGGGGTTGAACGTGTGGAGTGTGAAAAGACATCTAAATATCTCTTTGGGAGTGAATGAGTTTTAATCAATGCCTGGGGTGTGTCACCTTGGTCTTGTAGGCTTTCTTGCATCTGGCACAGTGGTAGGGTCTTTCATCTGAGTGGGCCCTCATGTGCTCCCGTACGTGTCCGACGGTTTTATACAGCTTGCCGCACTCGCCACACTTGTAGCGCCTCTCGCTGACGTGGACGTCCATGTGCTTCTTCAGCAGGTAGCCACTCAAGAAGTCCCTCTGGCAGAGGGTGCACCGGAAGGGCTTGAAACCTGCAAACAGTCAACGTTCAGTCACTAAAGATCCCGCAGATATTTCATGCTCATATTTTTTTTGACAATATAAAATGAATATGAAACCAATTTACAGTGACTGCAGCTAGGAAGTAGTAGCGTATGCTATGTCACCAACACTCCAAAAAATGAAACATGGACCTCAATTATCTTTTTTTTTTTTTGTTTTGTTTACTGTGTCTGTGGCATTTTGTCACCTGTCAACTTACCCGAATGACCTTTGACATGGAAGCGGAAGTAGTTCAAACCCTTAAAAGAGCGATTACAGTGTGGACATGTGTACAACTTGGAGGCTGTCTGATCCCTTTCCTGGAAATAGGAACAAAATAAGAACGCTTTGAAAAAGTTGGCGTGCAAATGTCTGAAAATATTGCTTCATGAAACCAGTGTGCCTTTCTAAGACTAAAACTAAGAACTTTGTTCCTAAAATATAAAATCATTTGTCAACTCCGCTCTTTCTTTTCCCGCTTACCGGTGCCACCACTTCCACCAACTCCTCTTTAACTTGGATCTCTGTGCCATCTGCGAGAGGACACTCGATGACCATTTTCTCCAGCTCCTCATGTGTGGCCTGCGGAGCTTGCGCGGCCTCCTCCGTCCTCAGCGCAATGCCCGAGTTGAGGATGGCCTGGCAGATCAGGTTATCGCCCGCGGCTGCGGCGGCGGCGAGGGCTTCTGCCTGAGACTGATCCACCATCACCTACGCCAAGAGGGAGAGTGTGCAGGTGTTCCTAATGTTGTGACCGGCGAGGCCTTCTGGACACTCACCTGCTGCTCCTGTGTTGTGCCATCCACCTCCATGGTGAAGTGCACCTGGTGGAGGACCTCTTGGGAGCCCGCCTCCACCAAATTGACCACGGCTGTTTGCGTCTCCACCACCTGCTCCTCCGCCGGCTGCTCCTTCACCACCACCAACTCCCGCCGGCCGGTCTCTGCTGGGATGTCGGCGCCAACTCCTGGATACAAGCCACGCACACATTTCAGCGGCATACGGCGGTACCTTGACTTGCCAATCCAATTCATTCCATCATCAAATACAATCCGAAATCAATTTTGCCCACTGAAATCCATTAATCCATTCCAGCGCCACCAACAATTACGAAAACCAGCACTTTACTGCATTATTACATAATGAAACACAATAAAAGACAATGTGAACAAATAACCATGAGATGGCGCCAAAGCACCGTGTAATAGGAAAGTAGTACATTGGTGCCAAGTAACTATGCTGAAGTGACATCTCGACTTCGGAACAAGCTTTGTATGATGAAGAGTTAAGTTGAATACGTCACTAGAGAGTCTTCAACCCATTGTCCACACGTACTTCTGTTGCATTTTTCAAAATCAAATCATCTTATTTCTTTTTCAGGGTAGTGTTGCAAAATTGGTTTTAAGATTTACATTGGCATTGTTGTGGCTATGTCCAATACGTAACAACCTGTGGCTCGTGAAAAAATATAGAACTGTCACATACTGCAAAGTAATGAGACAGCAGCACCTATGAAGATAGTTGGAACTTATCAAATCGGAGTGAAGCAAATTTTTTACTTGATTCTTTTCTCATTTCCTCTTAATTGTCATGTTATTGCCACAATGAAGGAATCGAAGATCACCGCACGTTGTTTTCACACCTCCAACAAGGAGGCTGTGTTATCACTGTCATTAAATTGTTAGCTAAGAACGTTATGAAAAAATTGGGCCAATATAAACTCAATCACTTTTGTTGCAGATCTGGATGCAGATGTCCTACTTATGTATTTTTATTTTTTTTTATTCCTGAATTAGTCATGCGGGAACACTTATAACATGCAGGGACTACAGACGGTGGCTATCTATGAAGGTGTGCTAGCCGATAAAGATTTTGTTTTGTTAGCTACTGGCATGAATACCTTTCTTCCTTCCATCCTTGCTCACCAGAATCTCCTTGCACTGAACAAAGCGGATCTTCTCAGTGCAGGGTGTGAGGGACTTGAGGTGTCTGGTGAGGGCTCCCGACTCTCTGAAGGACTGGCCGCACAGCACGCAGTGGTACGGCCGCTCGTCTGTACCCCAACAGTAAGTGTTGTCAGATTTTTTTTTTTTTTTTTTTAAAGCAGAAACCCTCTGACGACTTTACCATACCAGAGTGACGGCGGCTGTGACGAATCAAGGAGCCTTTAGTGCGGAAGGAATTGCCACAGATTTCGCACGCAAAGTTCTTCTGATCGCTGTGAGTCTTCATATGAGTTTTCAAGATGTTGCTCTGTTAAAATCAACAAAAAGTTTGAGTTGCAATTGCCACCCTCGCTCGGCATCACTTGACTAACGTGAGTCTTATTTTTGACACACCGTTTTAAAAGTCTTGTCACAGAGGTGGCAAAGGTACCGGCCGTCTACGTTGACTTTGTAAACGGGCTTATCGCCCTCAGCATTGTTAGAAACGGGGCCTTTAGGTGTCTCGGACTGCCTTGACAATTTCTGAGATGTGCTTTTTTTCCTGCAGCCTCGTCCCAGTGCAGCAGCGCTTGCACCTGCTTGCACAACAAACGCATTTGAGTCAACTTGCAGATAAGAGACAGTGATAGAAAGAAAAAAATATTAGAAACATATAGGAGTTACTCACCACTGCAAACCACAACTACACTACAATAATTTAAATCATCCATCTCTTTACTATACCACTTATTAGGGCTGGACGATTATCAGCTTTCTTCAACTTTTTTTTTTCAGTTCGAGCTGCCTTTGCTTGAAGGCTAATTATACTGGTCGCTAGCCAATCACAGGCCTTATCAAGACAACCATCCATTCACACTGCCAACAAGTGGGACTTAAACTCACATATGTCAGGTGAGTCAACCACTCTAATAATAGTGACTAGGTATGACCTCTCTGAAAATGAGCATTATTGTGACTTTTTAACAAGGTTCTTGTATCTCTCACTCAATTGTACATATATACCTAAAGTACTCAGTCAGAGGTGAGTGAATGGTTAACTTACTGTCATTAATGTTGGTGCTCTCTGGCTCACTGGCAACTTCTTGCGCCGCTTGTGTGCCGCCATTGGCAGTCTCAACCTGGTGATACGGTCATGTAACTTTCAGCGGTCTAATCAGAATCATCTTTACGGATCAAACATGTACAAAACACACGGGGAACTTGTCTCTGGTAGTTTTAACCATACTTGTATTACTTTAAGAAACGACTAGAACAAAAAGATCATTTAGGATGCAACACATAAGTACAGAGAGCTTTGTTTCAAAAAGTGACTCAACTGGCGGATCAGAACCCAAAAGTGGCTCACAAACACATTACTGGTGGCTCGTGAAGATGTAGTAAAAAAAATAAATAAATACAGTGGTGCCAAAAAAAAAGGCATATGTGCCAAGATAGAGGTGAAACCTTGTGACCCTATTTAAGAGGAATTGTGATATATCAATTGACTTTACTTGGGAATTTCAGTTCATTATTGGTTTCTTAACAGGGAGCTCTGAAGGGCACTTTGAAAATGTAAGCATGTTTAAAAATACGTACTTTACTCATAAAAAGCAGGTGATGGGCTGAAATTTAAGGATGACCTTAAAATGGGCCTTTTCAAGTCTATTCATTTGACCCTCTCTAAATTTTAGAACGCAGAGGCCCAACTGTTCAATGCTTAAAGTACTTTTCACACAATTTGCTGTTCTCTAACGAGGAGCTGAACAAGACAATTCGTGTTTGATTCTGACTGCACCAACAAATTTCCGAAAAGGCACATAAGTGTACGTCCTTGGAATTTTTTAGGCTCACCTGTTGTGAACGTGGCTTCTGCTCTTCGTTAGAGAACATTGAAATCCTTTACTAATACCGTTGGGCTTACCATTTGCTCTTCATCTTGACTGCTTGGCTCACGTCTGCTGCTGTGATGCAGCTTGTGTTGAATAAAAGCCTCCAAGGTGGAAAACTCGCTCTGACAGCGTCCACATTTGTGCACGTCCTCATCTAGGAAAACGACCACACAAGTTTCGAGTGTTTATCTTATGCAGCATTTAAATATGAACCTGTGTTCGTGTACTGTTTACACTTGAGGCATAATCTAAAAACTCATGTCGCTAATGACTCGTAGCTGCTAGCTACGTGCTGCTAACAGTGTCGACATTTGAAGGAAATCTTTACTAGGCCCAAACACTAAAGCACAACATATAAGGCACGTTTAGAAAGGAATGAGGCTAACCATCGTCACCGAGACTGGTGTGTATGGTGATGGTCTCGCTGCCGTCCTTCGTGTGTTTGTCTGCCGTAAGATTATTTTCGACATTCATGTCGTTCGAAGTCTCCGTGTGTGTCGCAACGCGGCCGCAGAGTGGCAAACATGGCGGATTTACGACCCCGTCGCCATAACAACATGGTCTGCGCGCGCAAGTGTCGCCCGCAAAAGTGACATCAATTTGATTGTATTTAAAAACTTTGATTTTATTTTTCCTCTAGCGCTTCTCGGCAGTTAACAATGGTTGCCCCTATAATGGGGAAAACATTCGACTTTATGAAAAAGTATCAGCAGTCCAACGTAAAATAGCCGTTGCATTGTATCCTTCATAGGCTATCGTTTTCATTCGTTCAGACAATTATCTGGAATGCACGTGACAAAAAAAAACCGCTGGTGTGTATGTCGTACCGGATTACGAATTTTTCGAAGTTGTTTACGACACCAAGGTAAACAACGAATCACTTTACGGTAGCTGCTATGGCTTCTGTCTTTAGCGGCGTGTTGCAGCTGACAGATCTCGACGATTTTATCACACCATCTCAGGTACTGTACTCACACATATTCTTGACGTGTATTCACGCTTAATTGTGTGCGGTCAGACTGTGCGCTTCACTTAAACGAAGCCTTAAAATCAGAGAGAGGGCTTGTCCGCAATGTCATTCACAACGTACGCAGAAATACCGCATGTAACTTGCGTAAGGTAAATTGTCAGCAAGCTACATATGCATTTAATGGCAATCAGTCGAAATGTGGGGTCTCCGCTCAGTCATCTTGGTTTCGGTGGGTGCTGGGTGATGAGTCATTCTGACTGTTGATTTTTGTTTTCACTACTACTACTAGGCTAGTAGCACAGAGTATTATGGCAAGGTAAATTGTTTAATGCCAGCAAGCTACATGTCCATTTAATGGCAATCTCAGCAAGCTACATATCAATTTAATGGCAATCAGTCGAAATGTGGGGTCTCCCCTCAGTCATCTTGGCTTCGGTGGGTGCTGAGTCATTCTGACTGTCGATTTTTGTTTTCATACTTGATTCATGTCAAGTCTACCTAGTAGCACAGTGTGTTATGAATATTTGATTTTTCCATGTAAGTATTATTAGTTTGTTTTTTTTCCCATTTATATCAACTCCCCTGAAATTTGAATTGTTTATTTTTAGTAAAGGGAAGAACGTGAGCCATTGGTTAGAATGTCAGGTTTACTGTTGTTCTGAGCTTCGGGGTTTGAATCTCTACTGTGGTCTTGTTCTCGGGGGAATCCTCCCAAATCCCATGATTCCAATTTGGAAGGGTTGTTTTTGGTCAAACATGTCAATAACTAACTGCTAGTCGTTTTTGTAGGAATGTGTCAAACCTGTAAAAATCGAGAAGAAACAGGGCAAGTCTGTGGCCAAAATCCAGATAGAAGATGATGGCACTTATGTGCAAATCAACCCAGTGAGTATTGAGGAATCACCTTTTTTTTTTTTTTTTTTTGTCTCAATACCACCCACGGTTTGCCTTGCTTTTTTTACAGGCCGGGCAGAAGCAGAAGCTTGAGAAAGCAAAGATCACACTGAACGACTGCTTGGCTTGTAGTGGATGTATAACATCGGCTGAGAGTGTCCTCATCACACAGCAGAGCCATGAGGAACTCTTCAAAGTACTGCGCAACAACAAGGTGGCGACTTCAGTCCATCCAGACAATGTTACCCTGATGAGAGTAACCATTACATGACCAAACTCAATGTCAAATCAATTGAAATGCAATTAATCTGTTTCATAATGAGGAGAATTCCGATGGGCCGTTTATTTGACACACGTGCTCCTCCCGCAGGCGAGCGCGACAGAGAAGAAAGTGGTGGTGGTCTCAGTGTCACCTCAGTCCAGAGCATCCCTCGCCGCATTCTACGGGCTCAGCAGCAGCGAGGTGGGAAGGAGGCTCACCTCTTTCTTCAAAGGCCTAGGTGAGGTTTATGTCACGGCAAGAAAGGCCTTGTCACCTTCTAAACATTACCAGGAGCGTTTTGGACTTTATTCCCTTTGGAACTTTAGGTTGATTCATTGAAAGCTTTGACAAATGCTGCTTTTGCAGGCGTCCATCACGTGTTTGACACAAGCTTCAGTCGGACCTTCAGCCTGCTGGAGAGCCAGAGAGAGTTTGTGGAGCGTTTCCAAAGGAAGGAGCAAGACAGCCGAGCATTGCCCATGATGACATCAGCATGTCCAGGTATGCTTGCAAAATCCAACTGCAAGCTCATCAGCTCGTTCACACCTTCTCTTGTCAGCGTTACGATACAGTGGAATTCTCCCTGAGCGTGTATTGCCTGCTGAAGGATGCTGACTGACTTGCGCTTGGATTGTATTTATTTATTTTTGCTCAGGTTGGATCTGCTACGCGGAGAAGACACACGGAGATTTTATTCTTCCTTACATCAGCACCACTCGCTCCCCTCAGGCGATGATGGGCTCTCTGGTTAAAGGCTATTTTGCGGAACAACAGGTGCAGACGCACACTTTGAAAAAATTTTTAGTTGTCAGCTGTAATTTGTGTTTTCAGACTTGTATTGTCGATGGAGTGTTGATGAGCAATTTACTGGAGTTTAAAATGGCATGTGGTAGTCGTACTAAAGTTTAGCATATACTGGACCGCTTATGCTAATAGCAATGATAATAATAATAATACTGATCACACTACAATTTACTGTAGTTTAAAATGGCATGTGGTAGTCGTACTAAAGTTTAGCATATACTGTACCGCTTATGCTAATAGCAATGATAATAATACTGATCACACTAATTCATAATAACAACGTGTGATCATACTACCTCATAACAAAGTTGAAAGCAATGAACATGCTTCGGACAATTTGAATTAGCACAACATCCAACTCGGATTAAAGCCCAGAGTGACTGAAGACTGGAGTGAAAACGGAAATAGAATTAGATGATTAATTTCAAGAAAAAGTGTGAACCTGTCAAATGCAAATGCTATCAACAAATAATCAAAGCGTACACCAGGCCAATCTAAAGTAGACACAATATTGCGTCCTGTTAATCTCGGCAAATTATGTTCAGAACCACTTTGCGGCCCAGCTAGATAAAAAATAGAATTAGATGATTAATTTCAAGAAAAAGTGTTAACCTGTCAAATGCAAATGCTATCAACAAATGATCAAAGCGTACACCAGGCCAATATAAAGTAGACACCATATTGCGTACTGTTAATCTCTAATGCAAATTATTTTAAGAACCACTTTGCGGCCCAGCTAGATAACATTTACTACAACTAATTTATGGGCTAGCCATCACCGTAAAATCCGTCAGAGATAGCGATCAGCCAGAAGAGGGCAGCATTCCCGTTTTTTTGCCCCCTGGACTCCCTGGCACCATTTACTACAACTAATTTATGGGCTAGCCATCACCATAAAATCCGTCAGAGATAGTGATCAGCCAGAAGAGGCCGGCATTCCCGTTTTTTGCATCCTGGATCCCTGGCATGCTGAGTACTGGTTCTGCTATTTTTACAAATTATTGACCAGGGATACTTAAGGGGCAGGGATACAATTTTAATGGCTCGACAATTTAAAAAAAAAAAAAAAATTCCTTAAAGCAGTATCCGTCAGAGATAGTGATCAGCCAGAAGAGGCCGGCATTCCCGTTTTTTGCATCCTGGATCCCTGGCATGCTGAGTACTGGTTCTGCTATTTTTACAAATTATTGAGCAATCTTAAGTGACAGGGATACAATTTTAATGGCTTGACATTTTTTTTTTTTTTATTCCTTAAAGCAGTGGTGTCAAACTCATTTTTGACTTGCAAATGACTGGATTACGAGTCAACTATAATAGGTTATTCAATTATTGTTCAAGTAAGTGTAAAGAGGGGAACAAAATGATTGCAAAAAAATCTCAGTGTTCTTTATTACACATGACAAATTCACATTTCAGTCAAGATTTTAGCAAGGATCGTGCAAGTTGACACACATGATTTGCTTTCGCGGGCCACATAAAATAATGTGGCGGGCCGGATCTGGCCCCCAGGCCTCGAGTTTGACACCAGTGCCTGACAGTGATGGTTTTGGCCGTGTGAGAATTGTGCCCGGCGTCAGCAATATGTAATCTCAATTTATTGTGCGGTGCATCTTAATCTGCATGTTATGCATGTCGTCAGGGCCTGAGCCCACAGCAAATCTATCACGTGGCGGTGATGCCCTGCTTCGATAAGAAACTCGAGGCTTCCAGGCCGGACTTCTACCTGAACAAAGCTGAGAGCAGAGAAGTGGACTGCGTCATCACGTCCGGTACGGCCTCAACTTCCATCGTCATGCACATTGTGGAAACAACATCTCTCTTTTCCTCATTAGGAGAAGTTCAGAAAATGCTGGAAGAGGAAAAAGTGACTCTTAATGAGATAGAAGACGGCCCTCTTGATACTCTGTGAGTTTTCAGTGTTGTATTTTATTTTTCCCGTTGTTCATGTCATTCTGTTTCCAGTTTCAGTAACGTGAAAGACGGCGAGTTCCTGAGCCACGCCGGCAGCGGCTCAGGCGGTTACCTCCATCACGTCTTCACCTACGCGGCCAGGCAGATTTTTGGAGAGGAGACCAAGGAACTCACCTATAAGATCCTCAGGTGAGCCCTCGAATGATTTGCGCTTATAAATAGCAATGGCGACTCATCACCGGGGCTTCCGTGCCTCTGCCACAGGAATAAGGACTTCCAGGAGGTGACACTGGAGAAGGATGGCGCCGTGGTGCTGAGTTTTGCATCAACGTACGGCTTCCGTAACATCCAGAACCTGGTGCAGAAACTCAAGAGGGGGAAGTCGCCATACCACTTTGTGGAGGTTATGGCCTGTCCCTCAGGTTGGCGAAAATCTTCCACATTTTTCCATTACTTAAAGATAACGATACCATACAGCAGGGGTGTCAAACTCATTTTTGTCGCGGGCCACTTTGGAGTTAAGTCTTCCATCGGAGGGCCGTTACGACAGTGAACCCGAATAAATGTTGAATCATTACATCATATTATTACTTGTACACACACACAAAAGATGGCCCCACTATTTTTTAAATCAGTCAAGTATTTGTTCAGTTATTGTGCAAGTGAGTGTAAACCGGTTCCAAAGTTATTGCAAAATGTCACCGTTATTTATTGCATATGACAATTTGAGATTTCGGTACAGACTTAAGCAAAGGTCATGGAAGTTGATTTGCTTTTGCGGGCCACATAAAATGAGGCGGCGGGCCAGATCTGGCCCCCGGGCCTTGACTTTGACACCTGTGCCATACAGTATATATAAATATGACGTGGAACGATTAATCGATTATCAAATTAATCAGTATTTTTGATCATTGATGAATCGTATAGATACGGTTCTTGAATCAAGATTTTCCAAATGTATAGAATTTCAGTTTCTCAATAACAAATATCCAATTTCTGTAGTCCTCTATGAAAGTGGACTGTTTATCTTTGTGTTGATTCCAAATTTTAGAAAACAATGATCAACATTTTTGTCTATTTTCTGACATGTTACGGCCCAAACCAATAACAGAATCATAATTTATATTTGTGCATTCTCTGCACTGTCAAATGGAAATCATGTCCCACATAAAGTTTTATGTTATGGTGTTGTATAATTCCCCAGGTTGTCTTAACGGTGGCGGGCAATTGAAACCCTCCCCTGGGCAGAACCCAAAAGAGTTCCTCCAGAGGGTGGAGACGCTCTACAAAGCAGAAGTGGCCCAAACGCCGGAAGACGACGCCCGCGTGGCCGAGCTGTACCAGTCGTGGCTCCGCAGCGTTGGCGAAGAGCACGCCAGAGAACTGCTGCACACCAACTACCACGCCGTGGAAAAGATGACCAACGGACTCACGATGAAATGGTGACGCCGCGTAACCGTCCAAGTACATGTGACTCCAGCATTTGCGTCCTTTTCAGTGGCAAAATATGTGAAATGTGTATCAATAGTTTGCAACCAGATTCAGTAGCATTTTAAATAAATAATCCTACAAATATATTTTGACCAAATAAAAACATTAACCAGAGCTGTTTATTGTGTCTGGAGGTTTTTTGATTCAGCATTTTCTAATAATGTGAATGATTATCAAAAAGTGTATCGGTCTAACTGTACATTGCAAGGCAATGATGAATCTGCCAAACTATTTCGCTGAGGTTGCCTGCATCACATTTACAACTGTAGCTGAAAAGAAAACTTGTCTTTGCCAAGTAGGAGTTTCTGGTATGGGCAATATGTTCAGCAGCACAGGATGCCATTCAAGCTACGACCGCTACTGCCTTCAATGAAAGACATGGACCAGCCCAGTGATACAGTGTGACGCCTCTTGATACCATGTTGAAAATTTTGAACACTTAAAGCCAGGGAAATTTATGTCATTGTTGTTTGGTTTTACTGCGAGCAAAGGGGTGGAAGTCTCATTTTAAGGCCATATTGGCAGGTGCTTGTGGTCTTTTCTTTAGAGAGACAAGTACTCGGCCAGTGATTTTGTGGTGAGAACAGCCACAAATGTCAACTCTCTCTGAGAAAGAGATGAGGGTCGGATATCTTCCTAAAAGGTTACCTCCATGCCAGAAATTATCACCTTTCAACACTAATGAATGCAAAAACGTTACTTACCTCGCAACTGCTGAAGCCTATTTACTGCACTCACTGCTCAATCACCAAGGTACTGTACATGTAGTTGTCCACCAGGATGAAGATCACTTTCACCCTTATGGATTCCCAACGGACGTTGTTGTATTGGTACAACCATACGCGACACAATGTTGCATTTTCGCCCTATAGACGGAAAATATCGCAAAAACGTCGACAAAACAATATTCAAATCAGACGACCTTAACGAATGGCAACGCAAGATGGCCGCGGGTGGCGCAGTAGTTACATACGGTCAGGCTAACAAATCCAAGATGATGTACTGAAAGAAGTTTATCACAGGCGTAAAGGTGGAGAACGTCAAGCAATCAAGAAATGGGCGAGGCCTTATAGGCAAGGAGCAAGAGCATAACCAGGCAGCCGCTGTTTGCATTAATAGTGTGATCTCGTATGCGGACTGGGTGGGCATGTCCTGTAGTTACCTGTTGTTTTTAATTGACACTTCCGCTTTGTCCAAGTTATCACGATGACGACACAACCAGTATCAAGACATTTTAATCGAGCCAGAAACATTCATCAACATTCCGCTAAATTAACACGTACATATAAATTAGCTTTTCAGATAAAGATTTGCTGTACATATTCAACTGCATGATGATAAACAAACGGCCTTAAAGTGTACAATTCAAATCACGCCCCCCTATTACTATTTGCATTCTGGTTTGGTCTTGTTGCTTAAGGAAATAATGAAAAATATACTGTATGTACTTGTATTTTTGCATGCAAACTTTTGTACTCAACCACATCTAACCTTTCATGTTGACACAATGAGTAAAGAACGCATTGTTCAGAGAATGCGTAACCAGATGAACAACTTCCCATTATTAACGATTGGTTGTTAAGCAGAAAAATCCCATCTTGGAAATAAAGCATAACTTCGAACAGCTTAATGTGTTTTTGAAACTTTTTACAAAACACACCTAAAAATACTCAAAAACTATTTGTTCTTATTTAATGAAAGTAGTCGTTCAATACCTCATATTAGTGAAAACAATCCCAGGCAGATGCCAAACACAACTTGACTGCTCATTTCAGAGCTAAATTGGGCCTCAAAATAATTAACATAAAGTATGAGCACTGAGGAAGAAGATGAAGTCGATCCTGTTGTTTCATGCAGACAGTTCGTGGAGTACGGATAATCATATTGCAGTGCCATCAGCGGTTTTAAGTCCACCGTGCATCATCACTCCTTAGGCACTCGGAAGGCGTCCTTCTCTTTACGGAGAAACCTCATGGCTTCGATTGGATCGGTCTGCTTCACGTGATCTTGTACGGACTTCTCTCTGTATTGAGCATACAAAGTTGCTGAAGTTGCAACCACACTTGTTGTGTGTGAAACTACCAAAGACTTGGTGGGACATACTTGACTCTCATAAATGGGTTAAAGGTAAATTCATCCGCCAAAGTGGATGGGATTGTCGGCTCGCCATTGCTGCATTGCTCCTACGGGAATAAGCACAACTTTCATCGGTGATCGTGTGGATGTGATAGATGCGATGACTGCTTGAATGTGACAGGCAAATAAATACCTTTGCCCATGCTAGCTTCTTTTGAATGACTTCATTGTCTGGCTCAACGTGGCGTGCAAATTTCAGGTTGCTGACAGTGTACTCATGACCACAGTAGACTCGCTAGAGGAACAACAACAAAAAAAAAATTGTTATGTGTTGCTGCTTGGTGCATGTCAAAGTAGCGGTTGAAGGTTTATCATTACTGTAACGGCTATGCTAATTTAATGCCGTTTTGCATTATAGGACAGCATTAAGCTTGCAGTCTTTAATGATGTGCATTGGTTGAACATTTTGGTGTTTAACTAAAACAATCCTTAAATACGCTATAAAGACCGCAGTGTTTGATAGGCACCGTTTCAGCAGGCAGGCGTCCCAGAATTTCAATCAAGGCTTTGTACATCTGCTCGGCGGTGCCCTCAAAGAATTTCCCACAGCCGGCAACAAATAATGTGTCCCCTACATGCAAAAACAAAACAAAAAAACAATAAGGCAGTAATATCGCACTTGGAAAGCTTCTGCTGACTTTTTCAAGGAACTTCATCAAACCGATTGCTCATGTAAGAGAGACAAGTGACGCAGCTCTTAATCGGGCTAACGGTGTGTCGTCATACCTGTGAAAGCTGCTGGAGGCTCAGAGCTGTCATCTTTGGTGACGTAGTAGCAGATGTGGCCAGTTGTGTGGCACGGCGTGAACAGACATTTGACGTTAAGCGAGCCAACCTGAGAAAAAGGAGCATGTCACGGATGCCAATACTGTATTGGCAGTCATTCTGGTTACACCTTGATGTGTTTACTTTTAAATTGTTGCCGTGCGAGACTTTCTTCGTTATGGCATCGACGCGGTCGTCTCCTCCGTATACTTTCAGGCCGGGCATGAGCTTTACCATCTTCTCATTCCCACCAGCGTGATCCCTGAAAACAGTAGTGCTCAAAATGCCTTTACTGTTTTTCTAGCACATGAGGGTTTGAGATGTTTTCACTATTGTTTTATTAAGTTTGACCCATAAAAGCTAGTGTAATACAAATTTTACCATGCGTTGTCATTTATAGCTTTGGCATTTCAGAAAAAAATAACACTTGTTGCCAAACCTAACTTCTAAGTCATAAATATTACTAAATCTTTGACTACATTACACACCTGATGTGCTCGAGGAAAAAAAAATAAATAAGGGCTGAATCGGAATCAGCACAAAAAATCCATCTAGATGTTCACTTACATCTCTGATGAAAAAAATTGTGCAAATTTGTTGACTGGTGTCAGTGTTCATCAAAATCAAGGCAAAAGTTTTATGCCTAAAAATCATATTTAATGCTGAATTATTGGAAGCATTATTGTATTGTTTATAATACTTTCAATATTAGCGATTAACGGTTCCCTTCAGTGTTTTTCGTGTGCAGCTTACCAGTGGTGATGAGTGGTCAGAACTGTTGTGAGCCTGACGCCATGTTTTCTGACTGCCTCCACAACCTGCAATTAAAAACATAAAATATTTTTTTTAAATACTATCTGACTAGCTAAACAACTTTGCGCAACCTCTCTAATTTACAAAGTAAATAAAATGTACAATCTTTAAGATTTTTTTTACATTTAGATTTTACAATTGTGAAGGGATAAAAGTTTGAGGATTTGGGGGCTAAGTAAAGCACAACAAGGAATATTTTTATATTTCACAAACTAGACCAATTAGCAAAACAAGGGCTCGTGTATCTCAGTACAGTGGTCTGTTTTTTTGTTTTTCGGGTGCATAAGACAGAATTGCGGGTGTTTAAAACGCAGATTGTATCACTTCCTTCAATTTGTATAAAGTTTTCACATTTTTCCCCTCATATACATTATGCAATTCAAAGACAGTTCTGTTTATAGTAGGCCCACTATCTTCATCAGAGAAACCATAACTACGATCGATAAATGCAAAGGTTTACTTGAAAATAACCAGACACTCCTTACTTATGATATCAATAGTTATTGCATTGGTATGGTACTGAAAAAAAAAACACTTTTAATAACATGACACACCTTTCGTGGGAGCAGGAAAAAAATGAGAACCAGCCCAAAGCGCGGAAGACGACTCCCGCGTGTCCGAGCTGGACCGGTCGTGGCTCCGCAGCGTTGGCGAAGAGCACGCCAGAGAACTGCTGCACACCAACTACCACGCCGTGGAAAAGATGACCAACGGACTCACGATGAAATGGTGACGCCGCGTAACCGTCCAAGTACATGTGACTCCAGCATTTGCGTCCTTTTCAGTGGCAAAATATGTGAAATGTGTATCAATAGTTTGCAACCAGATTCAGTAGCATTTTAAATAAATAATCCTACAAATATATTTTGACCAAATAAAAACATTAACCAGAGCTGTTTATTGTGTCTGGAGGTTTTTTGATTCAGCATTTTCTAATAATGTGAATGATTATCAAAAAGTGTATCGGTCTAACTGTACATTGCAAGGCAATGATGAATCTGCCAAACTATTTCGCTGAGGTTGCCTGCATCACATTTACAACTGTAGCTGAAAAGAAAACTTGTCTTTGCCAAGTAGGAGTTTCTGGTATGGGCAATATGTTCAGCAGCACAGGATGCCATTCAAGCTACGACCGCTACTGCCTTCAATGAAAGACATGGACCAGCCCAGTGATACAGTGTGACGCCTCTTGATACCATGTTGAAAATTTTGAACACTTAAAGCCAGGGAAATTTATGTCATTGTTGTTTGGTTTTACTGCGAGCAAAGGGGTGGAAGTCTCATTTTAAGGCCATATTGGCAGGTGCTTGTGGTCTTTCCTTTAGAAAGACAAGTACTCGGCCAGTGATTTTGTGGTGAGAACAGCCACAAATGTCAACTCTCTCTGAGAAAGAGATGAGGGTCGGATATCTTCCTAAAAGGTTACCTCCATGCCAGAAATTATCACCTTTCAACACTAATGAATGCAAAAACGTTACTTACCTCGCAACTGCTGAAGCCTATTTACTGCACTCACTGCTCAATCACCAAGGTACTGTACATGTAGTTGTCCACCAGGATGAAGATCACTTTCACCCTTATGGATTCCCAACGGACGTTGTTGTATTGGTACAACCATACGCGACACAATGTTGCATTTTCGCCCTATAGACGGAAAATATCGCAAAAACGTCGACAAAACAATATTCAAATCAGACGACCTTAACGAATGGCAACGCAAGATGGCCGCGGGTGGCGCAGTAGTTACATACGGTCAGGCTAACAAATCCAAGATGATGTACTGAAAGAAGTTTATCACAGGCGTAAAGGTGGAGAACGTCAAGCAATCAAGAAATGGGCGAGGCCTTATAGGCAAGGAGCAAGAGCATAACCAGGCAGCCGCTGTTTGCATTAATAGTGTGATCTCGTATGCGGACTGGGTGGGCATGTCCTGTAGTTACCTGTTGTTTTTAATTGACACTTCCGCTTTGTCCAAGTTATCACGATGACGACACAACCAGTATCAAGACATTTTAATCGAGCCAGAAACATTCATCAACATTCCGCTAAATTAACACGTACATATAAATTAGCTTTTCAGATAAAGATTTGCTGTACATATTCAACTGCATGATGATAAACAAACGGCCTTAAAGTGTACAATTCAAATCACGCCCCCCTATTACTATTTGCATTCTGGTTTGGTCTTGTTGCTTAAGGAAATAATGAAAAATATACTGTATGTACTTGTATTTTTGCATGCAAACTTTTGTACTCAACCACATCTAACCTTTCATGTTGACACAATGAGTAAAGAACGCATTGTTCAGAGAATGCGTAACCAGATGAACAACTTCCCATTATTAACGATTGGTTGTTAAGCAGAAAAATCCCATCTTGGAAATAAAGCATAACTTCGAACAGCTTAATGTGTTTTTGAAACTTTTTACAAAACACACCTAAAAATACTCAAAAACTATTTGTTCTTATTTAATGAAAGTAGTCGTTCAATACCTCATATTAGTGAAAACAATCCCAGGCAGATGCCAAACACAACTTGACTGCTCATTTCAGAGCTAAATTGGGCCTCAAAATAATTAACATAAAGTATGAGCACTGAGGAAGAAGATGAAGTCGATCCTGTTGTTTCATGCAGACAGTTCGTGGAGTACGGATAATCATATTGCAGTGCCATCAGCGGTTTTAAGTCCACCGTGCATCATCACTCCTTAGGCACTCGGAAGGCGTCCTTCTCTTTACGGAGAAACCTCATGGCTTCGATTGGATCGGTCTGCTTCACGTGATCTTGTACGGACTTCTCTCTGTATTGAGCATACAAAGTTGCTGAAGTTGCAACCACACTTGTTGTGTGTGAAACTACCAAAGACTTGGTGGGACATACTTGACTCTCATAAATGGGTTAAAGGTAAATTCATCCGCCAAAGTGGATGGGATTGTCGGCTCGCCATTGCTGCATTGCTCCTACGGGAATAAGCACAACTTTCATCGGTGATCGTGTGGATGTGATAGATGCGATGACTGCTTGAATGTGACAGGCAAATAAATACCTTTGCCCATGCTAGCTTCTTTTGAATGACTTCATTGTCTGGCTCAACGTGGCGTGCAAATTTCAGGTTGCTGACAGTGTACTCATGACCACAGTAGACTCGCTAGAGGAACAACAACAAAAAAAAAATTGTTATGTGTTGCTGCTTGGTGCATGTCAAAGTAGCGGTTGAAGGTTTATCATTACTGTAACGGCTATGCTAATTTAATGCCGTTTTGCATTATAGGACAGCATTAAGCTTGCAGTCTTTAATGATGTGCATTGGTTGAACATTTTGGTGTTTAACTAAAACAATCCTTAAATACGCTATAAAGACCGCAGTGTTTGATAGGCACCGTTTCAGCAGGCAGGCGTCCCAGAATTTCAATCAAGGCTTTGTACATCTGCTCGGCGGTGCCCTCAAAGAATTTCCCACAGCCGGCAACAAATAATGTGTCCCCTACATGCAAAAACAAAACAAAAAAACAATAAGGCAGTAATATCGCACTTGGAAAGCTTCTGCTGACTTTTTCAAGGAACTTCATCAAACCGATTGCTCATGTAAGAGAGACAAGTGACGCAGCTCTTAATCGGGCTAACGGTGTGTCGTCATACCTGTGAAAGCTGCTGGAGGCTCAGAGCTGTCATCTTTGGTGACGTAGTAGCAGATGTGGCCAGTTGTGTGGCACGGCGTGAACAGACATTTGACGTTAAGCGAGCCAACCTGAGAAAAAGGAGCATGTCACGGATGCCAATACTGTATTGGCAGTCATTCTGGTTACACCTTGATGTGTTTACTTTTAAATTGTTGCCGTGCGAGACTTTCTTCGTTATGGCATCGACGCGGTCGTCTCCTCCGTATACTTTCAGGCCGGGCATGAGCTTTACCATCTTCTCATTCCCACCAGCGTGATCCCTGAAAACAGTAGTGCTCAAAATGCCTTTACTGTTTTTCTAGCACATGAGGGTTTGAGATGTTTTCACTATTGTTTTATTAAGTTTGACCCATAAAAGCTAGTGTAATACAAATTTTACCATGCGTTGTCATTTATAGCTTTGGCATTTCAGAAAAAAATAACACTTGTTGCCAAACCTAACTTCTAAGTCATAAATATTACTAAATCTTTGACTACATTACACACCTGATGTGCTCGAGGAAAAAAAAATAAATAAGGGCTGAATCGGAATCAGCACAAAAAATCCATCTAGATGTTCACTTACATCTCTGATGAAAAAAATTGTGCAAATTTGTTGACTGGTGTCAGTGTTCATCAAAATCAAGGCAAAAGTTTTATGCCTAAAAATCATATTTAATGCTGAATTATTGGAAGCATTATTGTATTGTTTATAATACTTTCAATATTAGCGATTAACGGTTCCCTTCAGTGTTTTTCGTGTGCAGCTTACCAGTGGTGATGAGTGGTCAGAACTGTTGTGAGCCTGACGCCATGTTTTCTGACTGCCTCCACAACCTGCAATTAAAAACATAAAATATTTTTTTTAAATACTATCTGACTAGCTAAACAACTTTGCGCAACCTCTCTAATTTACAAAGTAAATAAAATGTACAATCTTTAAGATTTTTTTTACATTTAGATTTTACAATTGTGAAGGGATAAAAGTTTGAGGATTTGGGGGCTAAGTAAAGCACAACAAGGAATATTTTTATATTTCACAAACTAGACCAATTAGCAAAACAAGGGCTCGTGTATCTCAGTACAGTGGTCTGTTTTTTTGTTTTTCGGGTGCATAAGACAGAATTGCGGGTGTTTAAAACGCAGATTGTATCACTTCCTTCAATTTGTATAAAGTTTTCACATTTTTCCCCTCATATACATTATGCAATTCAAAGACAGTTCTGTTTATAGTAGGCCCACTATCTTCATCAGAGAAACCATAACTACGATCGATAAATGCAAAGGTTTACTTGAAAATAACCAGACACTCCTTACTTATGATATCAATAGTTATTGCATTGGTATGGTACTGAAAAAAAAAACACTTTTAATAACATGACACACCTTTCGTGGGAGCAGGAATGAACAATAAATTGTGGAAACCAAGGTGGTTTAACATTATTTCCATGACTGTCGGTGAGCAGAGAAGGCCTTGTTGACCCTGACCAAGTTTTGAACGCAACTCCAAAGTAGGACAGACCTTGACAGGTTCCACCGGGTCCACTATTGCTGCTTCTTTGGTGTCCGTGTCGATGAGCAAGTACATGTAGTTATCACTGAGAGCAGGCAAGAGTTCAACCCTCATGTTGGCTTGGTCCACCACTGATGTTTTCCTCACGGTGCTGTGCAGGAGAGCCGCTGCTTGGGCCTTGACTTCCACAGGCGCTTCGGGACAACACAAGAGTCAATCACTGACATTAAGTTAACCTGTAACGTGTGTTCACGTGACGCGCACGCTGTTTTTTGCTCATATTTGACACTTCATTTTCAACAACAATTAATATATGCTCATATTTGACACTTCATTTTCAACAACAATTACTATATCAAGAGATAGATACATAGATAGATAGATAGATAGATGTTATGTAAGAGAGATAGATAGATAGATAGATAGATAGATATTATGTAAGATACAGTATCATGTTTGCTGTCAGGAGAGCAGCTGAGTTCATGTAGGAGCCCGTGTTCTTCTTGTGTCATAAAGCGAAATAATGTGTCGCAACGTAACAACAGTGGAAGACGATAAAACCCACAAAATTGTCGGAGGCGAGAAGTTATATATGAAGTATAAACCTACCGAGTTTTAAGGCTGTGGAAACTCCTAGTAGAGTGCAGGCACTCCCTACGAGTGACTTGAGTAACATTACAAATGCGAAAATCAACGAGTGGGAAGCAAAGTTTGGTTGTCGTTTAGTTCCGCCTTCGTCACCACTAACCTCGCAGGCTCTACCAATCAAATACGGGGGAGTGGATAGGGGACAGGTTAAACGCTTTGGATTTCATTAACAAAATGATCCATTCCATTATTCCCTTCCTTTATTATTTTATCAAATGATTATTCGAATATTAAATTTAGTTATTAATTTGTGTTATGTCAAGTTGGTTTACAGAAAGTCCATTAAGGCTCGTCGTAGCTGAGGTGACACAGAACATCGTCAGTCAAAATTTACATCAATTAATGTAAATAATTTCCACCATTTTCTAATCCGTTTATCCTCACAAGGGTTGTAGCCATGCTGGACCCAATCCCAGCCGTCCTCGGGCAGTAGACGGGGTACACCCTGAACTGGTTGCCCAACGGCAGAAGACCTGGTACACCCTGAACTGGTTGCCAGACAATTTCATGGCACACATAGACGAACAACCATTCGCACTCACAATCAATCACACCTAAGGACAATGGAGAGTGTTCCATCAACCTGCCGTGCATGTATTTGGAATGTGGGAGGCAACTGGAGTACCCGGAGAAAACCCACGCAGGCACGGGGAGAACATGCAAACTCCACACAGGAAGGGCGGACGTGCCAACCGATCCGACCGTGCAGACCCTTGTAAGGTCTTTGAAAGCTGTACAACATCATCGTAGTTTTAGCAATAAAATGTAAATAAAACATAATAATAAAAGGTCTTTGAAAGCTGTACAACATCATCGTAGTTTTAAGGTGGTTGTAGGTCGTATTCAAATACATGTGAGTGGGTACATTTGGTGGAGTGTTAAATGCGTTTATTTTATTTTATTTGAGCAATAAAATGTAAATAAAACATAATAATAATTCTGTGTTTCATGGTTCGTTCCTTAAAAAAAAAAAAAATCATTCGTCGACAGTTGTCCCTTACGACTCGCCGTACCTCTCCGTTAAACTCCACAGTCTGTCGGTCAAAGTTTACTTCGACTCGTGCACACTGCTTGGAAGCTGCAGCAGTCTCTGTATTACATCAGAAATGTCGACAAGAAATATATCCCGATTTTGGGAATGGGGGAGGAAGATAATTTGCGTGGGCAGAAACTACGCGGAGCACGCCAAAGAGCTGAAAAACGCAGTTCCCACGGAGCCGGTACTGTTCTTGAAGCCGCCTTCCGCCTACGTCCGGGAGGGCTCGCCCATCGTGTTGCCCTTCTACTCCAGCAACCTGCACCACGAGGTGGAGCTCGGCGTCGTGATCGGCAAGGGGGGCGCGGCCATCCCACAGTCCGCCGCTATGGAACACGTCGCCGGCTACGCGCTGTGCTTGGACATGACGGCCCGGGACGTGCAGGATGAGTGCAAGTCCAAAGGTCTTCCCTGGACGCTGGCCAAGGCCTTCGACACCTCCTGCCCTGTGAGCGAGTTCATCCCCAAGGAGCGCGTCCCCGAGCCGGGCAACGTCAAGTTGTGGCTGAAGGTCAACTCGCAACTGAGACAGAGTGGCTGCACCTCCGACATGATCTTCTCCATCCCGTACCTCGTCAGCTACATCAGCGACTTCATCACCTTGGAGGAGGGCGACCTGATCCTCACCGGGACGCCCAAGGGGGTGTCGGCCGTGCAGGAGCAGGACGAGCTGCAGGCGGGCATCGATGGACTCGTCACGATGACCTTCACAGTTGAGAGGAAAGATCACTAATGGTGGACTGAATAAAAACACAGCAGGGAGGAAATAAAATGATGAATGAAGGGCGAATTTCATGATTCGGGCAAATGCCAATTTTGTCCAGCAGATAGCAGTGATAGACCCCTTTTATAAGACTGTCGACAATAAATTGTGTAAATTGGGTTTGGAAAGTTAATCAGACAAGGCAAGGAAAACAACTTGCTTGCTTTTTTGGCGCTAACATTGTTACCATGAAATGTCAGGAACTGATATTTGAAGGTTTTTCCAATTTAAAATACTGTTTGAGGCAAGAAAAAAATAATTGTGTCTTTCGTTCATCAACAAATATTTTAACAAGGCCAATGAATATCGATAGGAAACACTTTAATTCTCTGCACGTTTATAATTTTAAATCATCACTTGCACAACATTCCAGGAAAATCGTAATGTGCCATCACTGGTGGTTTCAATGAACTTACCGCGTATGTTTTTTAGAATGTTGGAGGAAGCTGCAGTACAATAAAACGGTGAAACGACATCACAAGATCAAGTTACAATCGCAAAAACCACAAATATTATTTTTTAAATTCGTTTTCAGGCCAGATTTAAACATGGCATCAAGTTTGACCACACCTCAGTTGTTGGAGAAGTTTGTTCTGCACTTGAGGAGCATGTAGAAACCCAATGCTGCTTCACTTTGTTTGCTTATGGAAGCATAAATAAACCTGTAACTGACAGCCTGAGAGGTTTGGAAGTCTCATAGGGAACGAAAGGAAGATGTTTTGTATCCGTCTACAACTATTGATGCTTATGTTAGCACATCTTTGGTGGTTGACTTAATGTGTTAGCATGAAGCTAGCAGGGCATTTGTAAGACAATGTTGTTTGAGATGCACAACTTGTAATTCTCTTAGTTTTACACTTAGTTTGACAGTAAACTTTATCCGGAAGTTTTGTTTTTGAAGAATTGTTCACCCGTTGTCACAATGTTGCTTGTTGTGATGCGAAACTGCTGTTTGTTGCCACCATGACGTGCGTCACCTCAATACCTCTGAGAATGGCGCCAAAATGACCTCAAAATGGAGGGCCGATGGAGTTCACTTTGGTATTTGCGTAGGACTTGGTTTGGCAGCGTCCGTCTGTGGTTCCTTCTAAAACTCGGACCACATTACACCGCTCATTTGGATCAGTCGGGACACGTTTCCCCCCCGCCAGCATTTGGATGGAGTCACGCTCCAACACCAGCTTTCTGCTTCAGGACAAGATAGATACACTGTGAGATTCATTTTCCATTCCAGCCGTGTTGTCTGCTTGAGGGGGGAAAAAAACAAATGATTGTGTTGCTGGGTAATGCTTGCAGATTTGGACTCTTCAGATGTCCCCATTGATGCACATCTGCTCCGGGTTGGGTTACAGTGCGTTCCCACAGGCCTCTCTGCTTTCAGGATCAATCAGAAGCGGCGCGGCTGTAATGTGAGTGCGTGCGCTCTGCCGTCACTCACCTGGAGGGCGTGTCACGCCACGCACAAGTCACTAGTGTGCGGAGGCTGGCAGGCAGTGCACTTCTGAAGAAAATGTACGATTCAGCTTCGGCAGAAAATTTCTGGATGAATCTAAAAATGAACTATAGCCTTCACATGAGACCTTGATTTGACCTCCAGTCTGTCAAATGTGCAACTGTTGAATATTTCAGTACCCGGGACTTGTTGCGCAACTTACTGTGCTCTAAAAAGCAGCCGAAGCGCAAAATTCACAACAGGTGTTTGAGTCAGGGATCTTTCCAAGGACGTTCGCTTTTAGGCCTCTGTGTGACTCTTCCAGTGTCTTTGATGGAACCTGCTGATGACGCCCAAAGCTCAGCATCCACTTCCCTGCAAGCACATCCAATTTGGAGGTGTCCAATCGGACACTCTCACAGGAAAGTGACCACTCACTTTAGTGCAAAAGAGAGACAAAAAGAATACAGTGTGTGCATGTCACGGAATTCACTTTTCGGTCGTGCATGTTACCAAAGGAGTACCCCAAGGCTTCTGCCTGGGACCCTTTTTATTTTGAATTTGCATCAACAGGCTGCGTGTGAATGTGTCAAATGCATTTCAACGCTATTATGCAGAGGACACCATGATTTATTGCCGTTCATGCTTTCTCACTCAGGCTTTTGTGTTTTTACAAGTTGCTTTTAATGTGGCCCATTCTCCTCTGAGGAGTTTGAAATTAGTTTTAAACACAGAAAAGACAAAGCTCAAGTCTCCTCAAACGCAAATGCTCATCTTTTTGTCCTCACGTCAGAAGTCGTCTTGCTGGCCACACAGTCTGGAACTCTTTACAGCCTGGAACTGAAGCTCTCAGAACCAGTTACACCCAACGGAGCCTTTTGATCCACGCTGAGTGACAAACAGCACGAGACCACTGAATAGTGCCTGTGTGTTTATGATTTGTTACTTATGCTAAAAAGTTTCAGCGCTTTCTTACTGGAAACCACGCACTCGCAAAAATATGTATTCAAACGTATCACTTATGTTGACTTTTTAATGTTTTTCATGACGTGTGCTGCTGGCCTCTTGGCCAGGTCACCCTTGGGATTGACATCTTGATCTCACTGGGTCAATGAAGATTATACAGTGTAAGACTGGAAGAGTCACAAAAAAGTTCAGACAAGGTGAAATTGAGTTCGCCTGTTAAGGTTATGCAGTGGAAACACGCTGTTCAGTAAAAATGTTTTTAACCTAAATTATTCATGAAAAAATGGGAATGAACAGCCAGTAAATGTTTTGCAAGAAAAAAAATTGGCACCGTTTGAAAAATGTGATTAATAAAATACGTAAATAAGTGAATCCACGAACGCTGAGCCGAAAAAAAATATAAGAGGTCAACTGTATATATGTAGGGGTTGATCATTTATGAGAATTGGATTCATCACCTTCATGGTGGGTCACGGTGTGAACAAACACATGAAACAAAACCGCAGCAACAATATGACTTCAAAAGCTTCGCCCAGCTTGCTGTGCTACAGTGTTTGGCGCATGCAGAAAGCTGTGAAGTGGCATCGGACTCGAGGTCGAGCCTTGCAGTCCGACATGATGTCACTGCGCGGTGACATCACGCCAGGTGGAAAGTGAGGCCAGAAAAGGCAGCGGGGGGAATATGCGCTAAACAAAGACTTTCTGCCACAACACCAGCTCCAGCAGTGGAAAAGTGATTTAAGTCTCCCTTGTGTGTATCTATAAACCTATTTTTTAATAGCATTTCTACATTGCTCTCACACAACTCTAATTGCCCCACGGGGATAAATAAAGTTTTCTGAATCTGAATCTGAATTGTTCTTCAAGTGTACTTAAGACTTAACCAAGGAAATTAAAGTTATTAGCAGAGAAGAAAGTAGAAGGGTTTATGGCAATATACTTTTCAGCCATATGATCCAGCCCTAGTACAGTTTGTTGCTATAAATCAAGGGTGTCAAACTCATTTTAGTAGCGGGCCAATTTGTAGTTGCGTCTTCCCTCGGAGGGCCATTATGACAGTGAAGCCACAAATTTATGACTTGTACACAACAAATGAATAGATTGCTCCTATTGAAATCACTCAAGTCAATTATAATAGTTTGTTCAATTATTGTTCAAGTGAGTGTAAACAGAGTACAGTAACAACATTCTTATTAAAGTACTGACACGTTATTTATTACACATGCCAATTTGACATTTCGCTACAAATTTTAGCAAGTTGACACACATGATTTGCCTTCGCGGGCCGCATAAAATGATCTGGCGGGACGGATCTGGCCCCCGGGCCTTGAGTTTGACACCTGTGCTATATATGATTGCATTACACTGTTATGGGGAGAAATGGCAAGGTTCATACAATTAATTCATGCTGGTCTTTTCCCATCACAACGGCTGCATTTTATTTAAAAAAAAATCTGAGAAGAAAGTTGGAAGTGATCTTGCACCGCTCTGCCCTTAACTGCGTGCGTGCGCGCGTTGAGAAAATGAGCATTTTGTGCGTTGCGTGCTGCGCTGAATGTCAGCAGACTTTGCTGCGGTGAAGTTGAAAGAGGGGGTGGGGGGGGGTCGGAGGAAGTGAGTCACTGAGGATGCATGAAAGCAATCACACACTCGACTTGCTGCACAACATGCTATACGTCGTAAAGTCGAGCAAACGCATGAAACCTCCACACTTTGCACGAACAAGCGGCTGATTATTGTCATTTATATTAAAACCGTGCCGAGTTAAGATCCTTTTTTTTAAATGGGCCAAGCTAAGGCTGTAGAATTATGCAAGGGTTCTGCGGCGAATGAAAAGCAAGCCACGCATGAAAAGCCAGGTGCAGCGCTCTTCCATTGACAATGATCGGCTGCGCACATTGTGTTGGAAGAGCCCAGGTGGAGAAGACAAGTCAACCGTGCCGTGCATCACGGAACACGTGTAACGGTTAAAAATGTTCTTGCGATTTCCTCCTCAAAAGCCACTTCCCAAAGAGCTCCCACGCTTCGACGCGAGGTCTATTTTCACTTTTCGAAAGCCTCACGTGTGAAGAGTTTTCCGTCCGTTTGAGCAACGGCGCTTTGTTGCTTATAAAAGGGCACACATCTCGCTCAACTTCAGTCAAAGCGTCTTTTTTTAAAAATATAAATGTAAACTTTTGTTAAATTGTTAATTATTATCATTTTATATTTGATCATTATATTCTTTTATGTTACCGTTATCTAAATTATATTCTGTGTAAGCTTATGTTAAATTATTAATTATTTTCATTTTATATTTGAGCATTATATTCTTTTATGTTATAGTTATCTAAATTATATTCTGTTTTATAATTGTTGAAACATTCTTATGTTGCTTGCGTCTGATTGGCTAAGGAGAAGCGGGAAGTGCTTTCGTGACTGAAAGGGGGGGGGTGTTCTCGTTCATCCGTTCAGAGGTGCAGACGTTTCTTTTTTCTTTCTCCTTTTTAATAAACTGCATTAAAGGATTCCATCTCTCCATCTGTCATTCGTAAAGAAGAGCCATCCACTGAAAAACAACGAACCCCTCAACTTACATTCTGTTTAATAATTTCTGAAATATTCTTATGTTGCTTGCATCTGATTGGCGAAGAAAAGTAGGAAGTATTTTCGTTACCGGAAGGAGGGGGTGTTCGTTCGAGAGTTACGGAGCAGACGTTGGAAAATAAAAAAGCTGTGTTCAAACGAAGTCCAGCTCTCCTTTTTGCCCATTCCGAACGTAGAGCCATCCATCCAAAACCGAGGAACCCCTGAACTTACATAAACAAGCGTGCAATGAAACGTGTCCAGACAAACAATCTCGTTAAAAATCCCCGTTCGTATAAGGCAAACTCGAGCTTCCATAAGTTTTCAACATGCCGTCATTTGTTTCGAGCATGTAGACTTTCTCCGAGCCAAATGGCTTTCTCGTCAATTAAAGATGGGAGTCACTACTTGAGATTCCGCGAGGCCCGAAAACCACAGACGAGAGAAAAAAAAATCTTCTGCGTTTCTTCCCTCAATTCAAGGAGACTGCGGTACAGGGTGGAAAATGAGTCCCACAAGCTGCTTCATTTGTGGCTCCTCGCAAGAGAAACCGCCTCCTTTTTTTACTTTCTAATCGTACTTCATTTTTTTTAGCTGCTTTGAAGAAATAAACTTTTTTTTCAACTGGGTGTTTCCTCCTCTCCATCTTTCTCAAAGAGGAGTCATGACAAAAAAAAAAAGATTCCCTCATCACGCCTGATCTCAAATAGCCACAGAGGCCCAATTTCCACTCATGCAAATAAATCCACATTGGGAGGAATTGGTGGTATGCATTTAAACTGTGGCATGAAAAAGCCTTGGAAGCTGCATTCCAGCTAAAAAAGTTTAACAAATTATCCACTCCCAATGAAAAGGGAGCTTTGTGAGACCGTATAGTAATTTGTTTTTCACTTGTCAAAGTGACATAAAATTATAAAAAAAAAAAAACCTGGAAAGTGAATTCAGAGATTTGTTTCTTAAGACATACACCTTTGAAGAGAACTGCTAAAAAAACACGCAAAGACTGACAACTATGTGGTACTCCAAATTGCAGCCAACTTTAGAGCGCCTCGTCGTCAACCACGCACGCTACCAAGAGAAAAGCAAAAGAAAAGTCGCACTTGATGCCATGCTGTTGCTTTTGTGCGCAGACACCTTCAAAACGGGTCTTAGAACAATGCGTTCGAGCGCCTCCGTCATTCCAGCAGCTGCTCTCATGGGTCACCCCAATTGCATTTCTCACATCATTACCAGGATTTAGTGACAACCACAAATCACGCTAAAAGTCATGTGGTTTTAATGGGACTCCATTGATCCTAACATAGTCAGCCTTGGCACAGAGCGCGCGGGGGCTCGACCAACCGCTTATGAATTTTGGTGGGGGCCCACTCCAAAACTGATGCCAGACTCATAAAACAGAGGGCGAATGTGACAGAAATGCCGACTGCAATTTGAGAGGGCGTGCAGAGACCCGGGACGATGGCCAAAACGTGTGGGCGTGTTTGCGTGCAAAGTAGGGGGGGAATAGGCACAGGCCAAGCCATGCATCAGCGTGAACTTCTGCAATATTGGAAACTTCTTCATCAAGACACTCAGACATTGGCGATTGACTTCCAGGGGGCCTTGAAATGTCTCATAAAAACCCTTCAAATGCTGAAGATATCATGACTGTTTTAAGCGAAGCCCCCAAGAGGCTTGACGTATTCAACTGTGTTGGTAGCCCTGCCATCTGTTTTGTTCTTTTCATTTGCCTTGTTGCTTGGGTACAGGACAGTAGTGTATGCCAGCGGTCCCCAACCTTTTTTGCCCCACGGACCGGTTTAATGTCAGACAATATTTTCAGGGACGGATAAATACAACCAAATAATATCATATTACCTGCATGAAAATTGTGGTATTTTCTAAACATAATAAACATGACACGAGGAACGTCCGACCTGGCCGCAACGCTCTCTGGTTATATTTTTAACGTTTTTATGTGTCTTTTTTTATTCACGTTTTAATAACGTTATCTTATTAACGTTTAAACGTGTCTTCAAAATAAGATACACCGCAAATAAAAAGTGCATGAAAAATACGACTCACCATCGCCGCATATTATAAAGAGTGGACTTGGTGCGTGGGAATCTCCAGTTGAGATAAATCCATATTTTAAGTAGGACTCCTGATACTGTCTCTTAAAAGTAGCCTTCTTTTTCTTGAAAGTCGCTGTCTCCTAACTGGGCCGTTTCCTCTTCCCAAACAAACTTCCCAAAGACGTTTATTTTTTTACTCATTTTGCTAGCTCCAGCGCTTCATTTTAGCGGTAACCTATCACGTGACCGAGAAGCTGCACCTTCACCTACGTCAAGAGTCACATATTGTAGACGGATGTAACAGAGAATCCAGTAATTTTTCAAAATAAAGCACCTTTCAGATTCCGAAATAAATAAAACATAAGGAATGTAAGCAAATGACCCACGGACCGGTACCGGTCCGCGGCCCAGTGGTGTATGCCACAAAAGGACAGCAACTCTGTTGCTAATTCAGAGCCCGATCTCGATAAAGAAAGGCTTCACTTTACATGCGACTTCACCGTATGGAAGTGTCACCCAAGACACAAAGTGCGTGAGTCACGGCGGCCAAGCGATTGCGAGGCTGGACAAGTGGTTTCGATTCCGATGCGGCTTTGAAACGCTCCGGTGCGACTTTTCTGTGAGGCAGAGCCAAACTTTGCTGAAATGAACCACAGACGCCGGCTGTCATGGAAGATAGAACTTTACTTGGTTACGGAATTTAAAATGAAACACAGTTGGCACCCTGTAACATTAAACATATTTCCTTCTGAACAGTAAATGTTGTGAAAATAGGAGCAGTCCAGTTAAATTAATACTGTCAACTAAAATGAGATTGTGGTTCATCATTAGCGAGTAAGGCATTTTTCACGTCTTGTTGTGTAATAAATACATTTTTAAAAATCTTTCTTTTGTCTGTAAATCAACACAAACTATAAATATCAGCTTATTCAATTCAAAAAATATACTTGGAGGCAATGTTTTCCCTTTGGTTCAACTCGTCGTCTTCCATATGATGCAAACAAACAAGCAAGCAGCGACGTACCTCAGCAGCGTTGGCAATTTTTACACGACAGCAAAGCAGTCGCATGTCATGGTAGTTGTTATTGCGACGTGAATCGTCTGTTTTTTTTTCTTCCTTTCTTTGCTGTTGATTCGGTTTGATTTTGCGATTGGGAATGATTGGTGGACGGACATAAACTCCCCCAATTGGTGGCATCAGAAGACGCTTCCCCTTCAAAAGCAGATTTGTGATGACAAGAGCGATGAAAGCATGAAAGCGAAACCTCAAGTCACTGTCGCCTTCCAACAAGCCACGCTGCTTGATTTATTAAAAATATTTTTTTTTTGTTTCTTCAACCAGCTGCTTGCATAATCAAGTAGGGGCTGTTGGAAGGTAAGCCATTTGTATTTGAATGTTGTTACTTCTTTAGCTACATGTGAGGTCCAAGTGAGAAATGTTTTGTTTGTTGTTTTTGGCCTTTCTTTGAATTATAAATCGATGGTAAAACAATGAAATATTAGAAACCCACAAAAATTCTATCCGACTGTCCGAGTTATTAAAGGGAGAGTGTGCCGTTTTCCCCAAAAACTTTTGGACATATTTGTGAAGACTATCAGTATAATCCTGACAGTAGAACAATAGTATAATAATCTGTGTTAAAAAAAAAAAAAAAAAAAAAATCAGCCCTCTCTGAACCTCAGACGCAAGAAATGCACTTACCAAGATTTCTGCTGGACATTACGTTTATCACCTCTTTTTGAGTTTTAATTGATTGAAAATTCCAAGCAACAAAACTTCTAACCGATGCTATTTTTTATTATCCTAACAATGTCCTTACAAAGAGGTTAACATCAGCAGCTTGTTTACATTGCAAATGCTTAGCTTAGCTTAGCACTGCTATTTTGTTGCGTTCTCTGTGACTATTTGTCACACCTCTGCACTTCTATCATCGTGTGGCATTATGAATGGCTATATTGTGAGACTCAAGGTGGGGAGGGAAGTGAGGGTACATTCAAACCTTTAGTGTTTTTTTTTTTAATAAATTCTATTTTTATAAATTGTTATCAATATAGTCAAGTTGAGTTATCAACTGCACACTCCCCCTTTAAGTGTCTCGTGGCTGCTTGGGACTTGAGGAAAAGTCCTGGAGTCCCCATCGACAGGACAGTCGTGAAGCTGGTCCACTTGGAGGTTGCTGTCTGTATTGTCACATTTGGTTCCTGAGACGTCAGAGTCAGGCTTTTTTATCTGTGCTACCTTCCCCTGTTAGTCCCATCCGAAGTCTTGCCCGCTCATCTGGTAGAAGTGTCGGTTGTAAGGTCTGTAGAAGTCTCTCAGTTTCTGCAGGACGGCGGTAGGAATCTGAGGATGCGGTCTTCCCTTTGACTTACCCAAACAGCGAGGTCTGCTGCTTCCTTCGGGTTTTTTCAAACAGGGAAAACCTTTGGTCTGATTGAAGTAGAAATGCTTCTCGGAAACGACCCTCTTCAGGCCCAGGAAGTCCTGAACCCGAGCCATCTCCCCAGCGGGATTGGACACTAACCTCTCGCCGCAAACAAAAAGAAATTGTGACAAGGGGAAGTACTGAAGCCAGTTCTCCAGATGTTTGGCGTAGAGGCCGATGCGAACGGCGCTCCACGACGTGTCGATCAGGCCCGTCGAGGCGTTCCTCAGGGCCAGGCTCTGGAATGAGGGAAGTCCCGGGTTCTTGGATAGAGTTTGAGTATAGTCAGACACAGCTCGGGTCACAGGATCCCGGACCACCACGATGAGCTTGGTTTGGCAGTTCAAAGTGCAGATGCGGCTCGGAGCCTCCTTTGTGACAAAGTAGCTGGGGGTTTTCTCCATGGTGATCTGACCATCCAGAGTCCGAGGCATCAAGCTCCTGAAACAAAAATCTGTGTCAGTCTTTTTATTTCGTTTTTAAATTTTATATATATATATATATATATATATATATATATATATATATATATATATACAGACATGCATTTATTTATTTTTTTACAAATGAAGTAATTCAGTAATTCAAACTTTGAGCGACAACCATTCCCAAATTCACTTTGTTTTTGTCTACAGTGAGCCTTGAATGGATACAAAAAACAAAATTGTCAGAGAAAGTGTCTCTACAACAAAACCACTTGAACCCATCTTTAGTAGCACCATCAAATAAATATGGTGGGACACCAACCACAGGCTACACACCCCCCTGCCCCCTCCAAAAAGTACTGTCCTCTCTCTAAATGTCTGATGTGCTTTTTTTTTTTCCTACATCCCAATCAGCCATCCAATGGAAATGTTATGTATAGCACACAGACACAACAAATCAACCATGCATCAATTTTCTATAATGCTCATCCTGTTTAGAGTTGCGGTAGGGATGGTGTGGGAAGGGCTGGGGCAGCGGAGTCTGTCCCGGCTGACTCAAGGCGAAAGGAAGACTAGACTCCAAATGCTAAAAAAAAAAAAAAATATATATATATATATATATTTATAAATAAATAAAGGTATTGCTTTTATTTACGGAGGACACCAAATAGTGCCCCCAAGTCCGCCAGGAGGTAGCAAAAACATGCGTCAAAGTAACAAACTAGGCGCAAGCCACGGGGCCTTTTAAAATTGTTTTTATCACAGCCTCAAACCAAAATGACAGACATCAGTTGATTGCCGTCTACTCCCATGGAAACATATATGTTTAGCAAATGTTTCAGACTCTGCCTATAGCGCTACGATAAATATGTTTTAAGGGGGAAAAAATGGGAGCTTGGTAGTCATGGTTACGATAATAACAGGAACTGACAACAAGCAGTAGCGTCAGGTTCTGCAGTCAAAACATGTTACTCGTCAGTGAAGAACCACAGCTTGAAAAATTTCGTCCTTGGTGGTAATGTTTAAGGTCATTCATTTATTCGTGCGATTGGACTTTTTTTTTTAACCCCCCTCCTCCTCCCGTTTTTTAAAGTTGGTCTTTGCCGTCGACTCTGGCTTGTGCCAAACTTTGCCTAGGCGGGTGGAACACACACGCCTCATTAGAGCACGCCACTTCAAAAAAAAAAAAAGAGGCCATCAAGATCTAACCTAAACACATCGCTGCACATGGAAGCACCCCAAAATTTGCTCTGATTAAAGCCGCATGGAGTCTTGCTCTCTTGTGTTTTGTGCAGGGGATCTCAGTCCCAAGGCACATCAGGAACCTGCCCCCCCGTGCCCCTGATCAGTCAAAACCACAAAGACTCATGAAACACTTAACGGCAATTTCCTACAGATTTCCAGCGTCTCCTCTGTTCTTCCAGCAAGAGCAAGAAAGGAGGGACCTTTCAGCACCACTTCCTAAACTCCTTTTGGCCCAAATGTCTTCAGAAAGCCCCACCGGCGTAGCCAACTGCTGATCTTAGCTTGTTTTCTTGAACACATGGGGAGCAATGTTGAAAGATGCATGCGTTGGCTGGCTCAGTGAGGTTATCAACAATAACGCATTCCGTGAGTTCATGCTTAAACTCATCAAAGTTGCATCCCCTCGCTTCTTCACAGACGTTGGCACTTCACGGACGCCAACGATCTCACGCAGATGTGTGTGTTTGATTTTTAGCCCGGCCTACCAAATTTTTGGCTGTCTGTTTATTACGTGTAATGTGGTTCTTTTCCCAGATTCATTGATGTGTCTGCTCTCAACACAGTCAAACCGTGTGAGGCTGAGCCGCTGGAGATTTCAGACGCAAATCGTTTTTGAATGAATGCTCTGCGCTTCGATTTCTCGATGCGTCCTCTGAAGTGTTGCTGGAAAAATTGAGCTTTCTTGTGGCTTGGGTTCAAATAAATGACTAAAGAATAAGCTGCTGTGTAAAAAGAGCGAGCCACGTTTGTTTTGTTTTATAATCGCCTTATGGGATGATAGCAAGACATCGTTCGCTAGCAGTTATGATGCATGGAGGTTCAGGGGAAGTGCATTTATCTTTTAGATGGTATTGTGGTTAATTATATGATCTGTGGAAGCATAATTCCTTTTTGACAAAGACGTTGAAAATCATTAATTGCATACTATTATACTGTATTGCGATCTGTAGGAAACAGCATGCAAACAATTATTCGAAATGACAGGGGATTAAGGACGGAGGCTTGAGGGACTCTACAGCAAATGAGAACTTGGAAGATGCATAACGTAGTTCCTGTACTCAACCACAGAAAGGGCAAGGTATCAATTAGGGGTAAGTTTTATTGAGGGTGCCAGGAGTTTTATTTGTGCAAACACATTTTAGAATACCCAATAAGAATATTGTGTTGATAATCATTTGCATTCTGTCATATTTTGCACTGTACAAAAATGAAAACAATAATTTTAAATGACAGGGGATTAAAGAGAGAGCCTTGAGGGACTCTGCACCAGATGGGAACTTGTAGGATGTGTCCCAAAATTCCTGTACTCACCTACAGAAAGAACCAGGTGTCAATTAGGGGTAAGCTGATTCCAGACAATGCTCAGTGGTTAATTTGTACAAATGTATTTTTACAATATTTGCAAAATAGTTAGGTCCCTCAGTATTATTATTACAATGCATATAAATAGTCTACACACACCTGCTGAAATTCAAATTTTTGGTGGTTTGAAAAAAAAAATTAACATGAACATAAATCATTTCATAACTGTTTTTTGCCATTATAACGGTTACATTTTTTAAAATAGAACAAAGACTATTTTCCGGTATTTGAAAACACAGATAGGAGATGAACACAACCAGACTGGACTGAACCAACATGAAAGTACGTACTGCAGCTAGCTCCACGAAACATAGAGTCAGATGCACACAAACAACGCTGTAGCAGGCATACGGTCTGGACTGAACCAACATGAAAGTACGTACTGCAGCTCCACGAAACAGAGTCAGATGCACACAAACAACGCGGGAGCAGGCGTACGGCGAGGGTGACTGGAACCATAATTACAGTCACCACCCAAGGAAAAAACTGTTAGGGGTAAGGAGGAGACTTAATTGTGAAGTAATAATAATACTGAATAAGAACCAAAAAATGCAGACACCGCTGAGACGAAAAAAACACAAATTACGGTACCACGCATAAGGATTTATTTGTTTTAAGTGGATGATTCAATGAGTGATTAATGGAGTCGTGGCGCCACACTGTTTGAGAAAATACCTTAATTTACGCATGTAAACATTACGACACATGCTAGTTAACTACAGTGAGATACGAGTTAATTCCTTCCATGTCCACGATCGTAAATCATAAAACAATCTCAAATCTCATTACCGCATTGAAATGCGGTGAATCCCTTCCACCCACCTGGAAATTAGCACTCTAGGATATTTACATTACAAAAACAGGTCGTTACATCATTAAATGGAATGTAAAGAATGAAACCGTTTGTGCATCATGATTAATTCAAGGAAGAGCTTCCAAACTATGACTGAGTAAGGCGCAGTGATATTAGTCATTTATCACAGAGGACAAAGAATATGGGCCAGTGAGTATTTTTACAGTGTCTGTCTTCATGTGCTGCTACCGGGTGTGTTAAAAATAATAATAATGATGATAATGAAAGTTTTATAGGTTACAGCAATGCTAGTTTTGTTAGCCAGTCCATGGTGTTTCCTATTATGTGTTAGCATTAAGTTAGTGGACTGTCTTAAGATAAAGTTGTATGGTTTGAATAAACATGCAACGTAAAATTCTTTTGTTTTATGTTTAGTTTGACAGTAAACCAACTGGAAGTGGTTTTCAACAGCTTGAAGCCTTTTTTTTTTTTAAAGAATAATTTACTATTTACTGCTGCTTGTTAGCCCCAAGTAGTCACACATTGATCTAAAGTTGACTTCAAGTAATTTGAATCCCAAACTACTCCAATGGTCTCTGTGATAAAAAGACCATTAATTGATTCTTATCCAAGTACAGGAGCTGCAAATGTCCCATTGCCGCCTGTCTGTCCCCGCTTTATCTGTGTCTAATCAATATGTCTGTCTCGATATGACAGATTGTTCCCAGTGTGTGTGTGTGTGTGTGTGTAACGATGCAGATGAGGACCTCTCTGAGATTTGCCCTTCACCGAAGTGTCACTTGGGTAATTGACCATAAGTTGTTCATCCGTCGTCCTCATGACTAATGAATGTTGTCAGCCTCATCTCAATGAGTCTCGTTCTCATCGCGCAATCAATAAAAGACATTTTGTCATCATAAATTTGCTCCTGTACGAGGTGCCGGGAGACAAACGTGATTAATTGCGCGATTCCTTTCTTGTGCACGTTGTCATGCATGTAAATCTAGTCCTGTTGTGGTCTACGTATTGATGTCGAGGTACCACTTTTCGATAGGGGTGCTGTTTGTATCAGGGGTGGGGAAAAAGAGTGAGCCCAGCGAGCAATTGACAGTATCAAGATTCCTGAAATACTTTTGCTGTGGTAATTTAGATATTAAAATAATAATAATCATAAAAGGTTTCTTAAAATTGATTTATTCATTTAGTTTATTTGCGGAATGGATATCGGGAATAAGAAAATATCAGTAAAATAAATAACTTCACATACATGGGACATTTTTGTATTTCTTTTTTGAAATAACTGATAAACAATTATTTGAAATGACAAGAGGTTAAAGACAGAGCCTTGAGGTACTCTCAACCATATATGCCAATGAAAAGCAGTTAATTAATTATAATTATAAACCACTGTAGTTTATAATGGTAATTTAAATAACATGAAGTACTGTTTTTTGTGTGGTGTCCATTTTTGCTCATCTATAAGTCAATATGCTACATGTGTATTATGCAGAAATATATGAATTATTCTACATTAACAGTATGTAGCATGTTGATGGTCACATGTTGTTCAAGGGCCACATTAGATATTTAAAATGGAGAGATGGGCCAGGTCGTTC